TTTACAGGTTCAAACTGGAAAAATTGCCTCCTTTTCCATCAAAATGCGAAACAGGAGTATCAACATTTTGAGATACAGTCACTCCTTCTTTTTAGAAAACTGAAAAATCTATTTGTAATTTTTTTCGAAGTTTTATGAATATAGGATTTTTTATAAGTTAAGATTAAACATAATAATTTACACAATGTTTGTATAATGAATATCTGTTTGATGAGCTGGAATGTATTATTAGAAATGGATAAAATGTAACGGCAAGATGAGAGAATCCAGATTGTTTTAATAAGTTCTATTCGATGACTAGAGTAACAAGGAAGAGCCTTGTTTAGAAGATCTGAGAAAAATAAACATACAAATGATTTATGCAAATGTTCAAGCGCGGGGAATCTTTTTTCCAGGTAGAGATTCATAAACAGGGTGTCTCGTCAAACACGATCGTCTTTATTCTACGCAGCATTCATATTCGAACTTTTAGATTTCAAAGGTTTAAGTTAAAACGATCAAAACCCTTTAACCTTTATTCAGAAATGAAAGTTTTTCTTCTTATCAAAAACAAGCAAAAAAAACTTGATCTAACAAATTTCATTCTTTGGTAAAGGGACTGTAAGCGTATTTTCCAGTGAATCTTCATTCAAGATGTCAGTACCCGATTCACAACGGTACCCTTGAACCCTAATCAATAATATAGAAAATAGCGTCATTTTCTTGCTTTATAAATGTTTAATTCTGATAACTCCTACATTTTTTCTAACAGTTATAGAAATTCGCATGTTACTTTTTCTAAGAAACCACATTTGAAAATATTCAGTTTTTAGAATTATAAACATTAGAAATTTATACTTGAACAGAGAAAGCTTTTGAGATTACCGTTGTGAATCGGACATTGCCATCTTGAAATTACGCCAACAAATAATAATAATATAACGAGTAATTAACAAGAATTGTATAGATAAACTTTACAAAAAGAATCTATTATTGATGCATGGAGGATTATAAAATGAAGGTACCGTCTTACAACTCCAATTATAAATTTAGTAAAAGAATATAATTTTTAATGCATTTTTTAAAGTTTAACCTAAGTCCTAAATAATATTCAATATCCAATGTTCATATAAGTTTACATAAAGTGGGAGGGGGGGGGGGGTTAGGTTAAATAAGTTTAGGCCTTAATAAAAAGAAATGTATGTTGTAGCGTTGTTTCAATCTGAAGAATGATATTTTTAAAAATCATTTAAAATATTTCTGATATTGTTTCTTGAAAAATATTATGAGGAAAAAATAAGGAAATTTTCGATGCTAATCAGAAAACTCTGAAAACGGAAGACGACTTTATTTCAATACTTAAGCGTTTTTGGTGATGTTACTGAACAAACAGTTAAATCACTAATTAACTGAAATGGGTCTATTTACACTGCACAATTTCTGGTTCCAAAGTCGTCTTTATCTTTCAAAATTTTCTGGTTCACTGTATGAAAAAAATGCATGGTTCTTGTTTGATAAGGATTATCTCTGCTGTAGTTTTATAATGCAAATAATGGCTAATTTGACATTTGACAGAAAATTTTAGATTTCAAATGTGATTTCCTCTTTAAAAAATAGGTTTAAAATATGTGATGATGTGTGCACACTACACACGAAATATTGTATAAAATATATTTTGATGAGCTCCCTGCTGTAGTCCATGGTAGCATAACACTTGTCACAACACTTAAATGTAAAGTCTTTGTGATGAATTCTCTTCATTTTCAAAACGATCAATTTTCAAAAATGTGTCGATTGATTTTGGAACCAACTCCTGCTCCTCCTGCAGGTGAATCCATATTTTTGTCTAGCTTCTAGTCTACTATTCTACTAAATTTCCCCAAATGTCTCCCCAATCAGATTCCAGTATTTCTCCAAACTTATTAGGTTTAAAATATACGAGAAGTTAAATAACTCCATTTCCTTGCTTTTTTATTATTTTTTTCCTGGGCTTTTATTCTCCTATTTTTCAAAGCTTTCTCTAGATTTACTAGGGGAACAGTTATGAGAATTTTGATTACAAAACTATCTAAAGATTTTCACAAATATTTTACTTTATTTTTTTTGCTACTCTGTTTTATCTCTGTCTTTTCTCGAGTAATATACAGGGTGTCTCACGAAACATGACAGTTGGCGAATGGTTTTTAATGTCTTCTTCCATATATTATATTAGATATTAAAGATTTTTTTGCAGTGTATTTCGTTAGCAAAATCTTTTACTCAAATATATTTTACTTTGAAATCAATTTTAATATAAAATGACTGCCATGTTGTATTTCTTATTAATGTTAATTGATCTTTTTTGTATCAATCAAGAGCTTAACAAATTATGAAAGAAGACATTTAAAACTATTCACCAAATGTCATGTTTCGTGGGACACCCTGTAGTTACAACTGCTTTAAGGGGAAAAGTAAATAAAATTCTGTTTTAGAACCGGTAAATATTTTCACATAAATTAATCTCCAACTTTTCCTAGACATTTTTGAGATATGAATATCTATTCTTTGCCTTTGACGTCTGGTTTACCCAAAATAGAATGGGGGTGACCCCCCCCCACACCCATCTATTTCCTTCTTGATATAAATCTATAACATTTGATACATTTTTAGAAAGCTCTTGGGCTCTCCTTAAATAATCGGAAGAAAAATAGCAAATTTGCACAAATTTGCAAAAAAAAACACAAAAATTGCACGAACTATGACAAATTATACGTTTTAAAAAAGCCCTTGATCCAGAAAATTTAATTATGCAAGAATATTTGCAAAATTTGCAAAACTTATATGTGTATTCGAGAAAAACTAAAATTGTGCAAATTTCCTTTAAAGGCGTCTGTGCAAAAATCTACGCGAAATTTCTTTGCAGAAATTGTGAAATCTGCTTTCTTTTGGTATAGCCATTCCAAAAAGAGCTACAAAATGTTGAAATCCAATGACTGAAATTTCGGGGTGTCCCACGAAACATGACAATTGATAAATAGTTAATTTTAGTTAAATAAATCTTTTGCTTAATTATATTTTACTTTGAAATCGATTTTAATATAACTTGACTCCCATATAATATTTTTATTGATCTTAGGTATCAAACAACTGAACAAATAATGGAAACTTTTCATCAACTGTCATGTTTCGTGGAACACCCTGTAGGTCTGAATTTAGATTTAGTCTGTTAAAGATAAAATAAGGCATTCAGGCATGCGTATGCTTGAGGACACAGGCAGTATAGGTTGAAAGCATATGTTTTAGCTTAAAGTGTATAAGGGCATGTATTAGTTAGTAAAAGTCAAAAATTTGAATAGCCTCAAACCAATACTTTCTGAGTTATCGCAAAAAAACTATAGGGGGGGGGGAGTCACCTTGACGTTCAGGATGATGACGAGGTTGAGTTTCAGTCCGAGGAGAATCAGAATTGTGATCAAGTCCTGTTTGACTCGGTACTTAAGCTTTGTCTACATCTCCATTCCCCTAAGGGGTAGGAGATGAACAAGATATCGGAAGGGGGGGTGGGATCGAGACCTCTTCTCAGGCTGGATGTTTCTAAGGGACCTTGATCCTTAGATCCTTAGATCAGGCTGAGACTGGCCAGGTTTCTGAGGAACCTTTCCTTGGACTTGTAGGATCTTATGGAGTGGACCTCTCTTGAAAGCTGAATGGTTCTCAGGGACCTTTCCTCAGCCTAAGGGACCTCTTCCCCGAGTCTGACTGAGGGCTCTTGGGAAATGGGAACCTTTAACCTTAGAAATTACATAATTCCCCAGAAATATTAAGATAATTTTCCCAATCATTTACAACCAAATTTTCTCTTTTTTGGGATTCTTTTCTGTAGACCTCTCCAACCTACACAGCAACAAGCATGAAGTATCGTAGGACGGATGATTTAGCATCCAAATTTTAGATCGTCTTCTTTGATTGATTGATTGAAAATACTTTTTCAAATGAATAATAGACCGCGGCAACGGCGGGAATTATTGGGGTGAACAAAAAATTTCCACCGTGGGACGGGGGCCGGGGGTTGAACTTAAAATTTCAAAAATTGAGATGGGTCTGTCCTAGTGAACGATTTTTGGATTTCTCTCCTGAATTAGTTTTCACTTCCTTCTAAAATATTTCATTGTTAAATATATATTATTTATCTTGCTACTAAAGGGTTAGGTTAGTAATTATGCCAATTTTGATGCGCTGAGCGCCTCCTCGGAAAACGATGGATTCGATGGATAGGTCCTCGGCTGGTACACACAGGACACGTGCATGCAGTTAAAATTGAAATGGGGGGGGGGGAGCTTGGGTTACGGATTATCCAGAATATTAGTGTGGTAGGTGTAGGACGGTAATTTCTTATTAAAATATTTTGAGCCCCTCGCCTTTATAAATATATATTGGTCTGTCTTAGACCCCCCTCTTTTGTATAATTTTGTATATGACCATTTATTTTTAGCAAAATGATTATTATTTATCTTTTATTATTTTAGGGTTAGGCTTGGACAGGCTACTAGGGGGCTGAGTGCCGCGGCTAGGGGGCCGGGCGCTGCGGCCACATTACCAATTATGTTCATGTGTTACATATGAGATCCATGTACAAAATTAGGAGGAGGGGTCCAAATATTGTTCTCTAGGAAATTACAAATAAATGTACATGAATGTTAAACCTTTAAGGCTTCTATGTTTAATAATGGACATGTGGCCGCAGCCTAGTCTGTCCTTGCCGCGGCGCTCAGCCCAGAAATTGTCTTAACCTAACAAACCCTAAATTATTTTTAAATAAACATTATTAGAATGTAAGTTGTAATTTAGTGGTCCAAAAATCGTATTCCAGCCAGGCCTCATTTTCTGCTTTTTGCAGATTTTTGAACCAGATATTATTTGCGGCTGACTACATGAACTAGTACTATTTTTTGGTATATCTTTTGGTCTTTACACTTGGTAGATTTTATGCTCCTAGCTAAACCCCTGCGCTAGGGTATCAACCTATTGTGTCATAAGAACCTATCTCATAATAAATATATATTTCAGAAGTTGTAATTACAGTACAATGAAGCAAATAATTCATTTGTCAGTTCATTCTCACCTATTGGTGTTGAGACCGAAGCTACACTGTCGTATCTCTCAAGTCAGATTTATATCAGGGGATAAAAGCGGGAAAATATCGCAGGAAAAGGAAGAGAAAATTTTAGTCGATAAATCGGGAAAAATTCCTGATTCAGCGACCACAGAGAAAACGCCTGATTTAATAGTAGATTCTGCTGGGAAGAAAATATTAGAATTGAATTCGACAGAGTTGCAAAGTAAATATTTGCCCAAACATATGAGGTAATCGCTTTATAGCATATAGAATTTATTTATCTCTATTAGGATCCGGATCCGTTGGATCCGCAAGATTTTGGTTTCCTGGATCCGGATCCGCAAAAATATGCGGATCCACGGATCCGGATCCAAGGGGTAAAATATCAACCAAAAACTGCAAAAAAAAACTTTTTTACTCCTTAACCCCAAATCTGAACTTTTGAAAAAAGAGAGATTGTAAAAATTTCCTCATTTCTGAATGGTTCATCAAGTTTTAGGATAAAAAAGCGAAAAAAATAAAACAAAAACTTTGAAAATTATTTTTTGTTAAAAAATTTTAGTAAATCTTAAAGAAATTACCTGGATCCGGATCCATTTTTTTCTAGTGCGGATCCAGGATCCGCATCCGCATCAAAATTGAATGGATCCTAAGCACTGTTTTCTAGAGATTTTAAATTATCCTTAAATAATTATTTTAGTTGGATTTAAAATTGATTTTGGTAGATAAGTTCCAAGATTTTTCTAATTTTAAATTTACAGATTTTCTGTGTTATCATATTCATTCGTTTAAATGTTTCTATTGTGATTCGTTAATGATCATTTATCGAAAGTTAGCGTATTCATATTAACCCCTCACTAAAACTTATTACATGGTTGGGGGGGGGGGGGCAATCAAACTCTCCCCTCCCCTTCTTTTTTAAAATTAAATTCTTTTAAATTCTTTATCACACGGGTGTATATTTTCTTGAAAAATAAATCATTCCAACCCCCTGAAATAATGATTTTTATGGGAAAATAAATAAATTTGTAGTTAATGGGTATAAATAAGGATGAAGAAACTTGCAATTTGATGTCAAATTTTCTTTTTAAAATTTCTTAAAAATATAAAGCCCTACATCATCATATTTAATTTTTTGTTTTAAGTTTTGAGGATGCGAGGGAGGCAGCACAAAAAGCAATTTCTTTACAGAAAAGGCATTTAGGTATGTAAAAATATTTCTTCAAGAAAAATGCTAAAAATATGTTTAAATGGCTCTTTGTGTTTAATACTATAGAGTGTAGAATTACAACTAAAAGTTAAATTTTTAAACGGAAAATCGGATTTTGCTCAGGAGCTCAAGATAATTACAAACTAGAGGCAAAGATAAATTATGTTAAATTCCTATAAATATCATAAGAAGATATCCAATATCCAAAAATATTCAGATAAAAATGCCTGAAAGTAAAATTTTAATTTTTAGATAAATTTTTTTTAGTTTTTATTTTTCCAGAGGATCGTGTTGAGAGTTTAAGAAATATATTCAGCGGTAAACCTGACCTACCCCGAACACCAGACGAAGAATGGTATTATAAAAAGGTAAATCATATTTCCAAAAATGTCTTGACATTTATTAATAAAGCACTTGTTATTATTCTGATTTTAATTTTTGCCTTCTTTTTTGTTCAGACCTATTTTGAAAAATAGTTTTTTGTGTGTGTTAGGGGGGGGGGGGTGGTGGTGCTGGACCAAGGGTTTTTCAAAGCAAGTTTGAATAGTTTTTATATACGAATTTAAATTATGATTATGATTTCAGTCTCCGTGATAATATTATAAAAATTATAGGTTAGCTTCTGGATGAAGAGGTACGAGAACTTTGTCGGATTGACAGATGTGAAGGCGGCGCAGGCCAGGGTTGTCGAGTCAGAGAAGCGGTTCATTGAAATGCAGGTATATAGATTTAATTATATATATCCAACATCCTACCCATTCTATAGAATTTTCAGTTTTTGGGTGAATTTGCTCATTCACAAAAATCAGACTTGTATTTCAAGATTATTTTTTTTATTATTCTCAAACATTTAAATAGTACTCAAATTATGTAGTTTTCAATTGACATATGTCATGGGTTCATCTAGGATTAATCTGAGTGAACGCAATGACATCCAAAAATTGCCACATCACAACATAAAGACATAAAAAACCTGTTAAAATTAGGTTTAAGTCCATTAAATCTGCCACAAATAATTTCTTCGTTTAAAATATCTTCCACAAATAATATGTCAGTTAAAAAATCTGCTTAAAGTGATGTCTTACAAATCTTAAGTAAACGTAACTCATATTTTATCCTTTTTTTTCAGGAAAAAAGGCGGGAAACTCAGGGAAATATATCAGAAGTACAGAAGAGAATAAAGGTTGGTTCATAAAAAAAGATTATTTGATTTTTTGTGATCTTGTTTTTTTTAGGAAATTCACTTAGAACTTGAGAAAACACATCGAGGAGAGGATAGATATTTAGTTCTAGTTACTCAGGAACATCAGGTATATACTTCTTGATATTTAGATCTAGTTACTCTGGAACATCAGGTATACCTCTAGATATTTAGTTTTAGTTACTCAGGAACATCAAGTACATACTTCTTGATATTTAGATCTAGTTACTCAGGAACATCAGGTATACTTCTTGATATTTAGATCTAGTTACTCTGGAACATCAGGTATACTTTTAGATATTTAGTTCTAGTTACTCAGGAACATCAGGTATACTTCTAGATATTTAGTTCTAGTTACTCAGTAAACATCAGGTATACTTCTAGATATTTAGATCAAGTTACTCAGGAATATCGGGTATACTTTTAGATATTTAGTTCTAGTTATTCAGGAACATCAGATATACTTTGAAATATTTAGTTCTAGTTACTTAGGAACATCAGGTATACATCTAGATATTTAGATCTAGTTACTCAGGAAAATCAGGTATACTTTTAGATATTCAGTTCTAGTTACTCAGGATAATCATGTAAAATTCAAGAATTTTACCCTTCTCTCTGTTTAAACTCCTAAACAGGTTGAAAAATTTAATGGAATTTAAAGTCACATTTGATTTCTGCTTTTCCTCCAAATTTCACAAAATTTTCGAATAAAGGTATTTTAACAATTAACGATAAGATTTTAGAAAAATTTTAAGAATAGACATTTGTCCTGGAATGAGAAAATCAATATTTTATTACTCAATGACGTGCGGTGCAGGGTTCTATATTTTCTTGAAAAATTCTCCCGCCCCCCTCTTATGATTTTTTTTTCATAAGAGAGGTTTGGACCAATAACTGATTTTTAGAAGAAAAAGAATCAAGTTTTGGAAAAAGTATCAAAGATCATAAAAAATTATTTTGTTTTTCTTAAATTCTTAAATTAAATATCCCTATAACGGTGTCAACTGTCCGTCTAGGTGTTAAAAGAGGAGAGAACCCATCTGGAGGAGTTCAAGCTCTACGAGAAGTCGGAGCGTGAGTTCTTCGCCGCGCTCTCCAACGCTGTCAGAGATTCCCACGAGAAAGAGCGCGCACAAGCAGAGAAAACGAAATACTGGTCTATTCTAGGATCCATCATTGGAACATGTTTAGGAATACTGGGTACAACAATTAATAATAGGTATAAAAAACATCATTAAGATATTTAAGCGCAAAAACACCGAAAACTTGCAAATATTTTACCGATGAACATTGTTCAAAATAAAATTTATTAACAGTAATGATAAAGCAATTTTAAACTTAACATAAATAATCTCGACATCATTTTTCCCCCGTTTAAAAACATGGTTTTTTTTCTGATCCAATATTGATTTAAATGGTTAATGTAGTTCCAATTTAATAAAAACATATATTTAAAAATTTTGTAAATCTAAGGGTCCCAGAACACCGACATTCCAATTAAACTTTGTTTAAATTGTTGCAGGTTAAGAATGAATGAGCTTCGACAGCTTGTAGCTAAAAATAGTACTGTTGAAGAAATTCAAGCAATAGGCAAGTCATTAAAATAATATTCTTTTTAAGTTTGTTTAAATGATAATTTTTTTAATAGTTTTTGTAAAATATAACAGGCATGTCATTAAAACCTTTAAAATGTAACAAAACCTTTTTTGTTTGGATTTTATCCCCTACGGACCTCCGGCTGTATTTGACTAAAAGATCAAACATTTGATTTTTGAATTTGAATTTTTGAATAGGAAGATTTTTTATGTAGGGCTCCTTGTTTCGTTTTAGACTTCAAAGTCTTAACTTTAAATTAACATCAGAATAATTCGGATTTCATATTTTTATTGTTTTTATTGTTAGGTTCCGATTTGACGCGAAGTTTTGATTCTCATGAGAAGGAATTGAGCGGGTTAACCGCTCAGGTTCAGGGTATACTTCATCAAGCTCAAGCAGGGCTAGGAAACTTAAACAAGGTAGGTTTAGGGGACTATGTTTAGATCAGGGTATACTTCATCAATCACAGAAGGGGCTAGGAAACTTGAACAAGGTAGGTTTAGGGGGTTATTATTGGATCAGGGTGTACTTTATCAAGCTAAGGAGGGGCTAGGAAACTTAAACAAGGTAGGTTTAGGGGGCTATTATTGGATCAGGGACTACATAAAGCAAAGGAGAGGCTAGGAAACTTAAACAGGGTAGGACTAGGTTTTTGTTTTGATTAGGGTATTTTTAACTTTATCAATTTATTTATTTTTTAATTTTTTTTATGAAACAAATTATTTGATACATGTATTTAATGCAGAATGCAGATAATCATGTTTCCAATCTTCTTGTTTCCTGGCTGTTCTGTAATGCTCGTTCAATTAGCTGCATACCCCCGCCCCCCAGGAGGGTTAATATGCAGTTTTGAGATGCTGATCAGGCAATTTGTAGTATTTTAATATCAGCTCTTGAGTTTCTGTATTTATTTCAGTTGTTTTTGATATCGGCCATCTATGCAGGTTTATTGCTGACATTGTTGTAATGAGAACTTCCCTTTGTCAGCTGCATTACATGTATCAGTGTCTTGCAGTAATTTAGAAAGAAATTAAAAGACCTCCTAGCCTTAACTGCATTCGGCTAGGTTCAAGGTGATTTAGGTGTACCCCCTAGGAAAGGAACACCCAATGAAACCAATGATGATCTCTCTCAGAGAGTTTTGATTAAGATTCCACAGCAAAGCAGTTTCTGAGTTCCACAATATCTGCTCGTGAAGTAGGATAAGGTTGGAAGAATTTAGGAGGTAGGCGGATGAGGATGGGGGTGTAAGGGTAACAGGTATCAGAAATACCATAGTCCTCACTTTTAACGTGTATTCCCACGTGGACAGATTTTTAAAGAAAAAATAACCCGCTAAGCATGCTGTCCCATCGCTTTAAAACACGGGGAGTGTGTCTTTTGCCTATCATTGTCAGAGGTCTGCCATGAGTAATCCAGTTTCCATTGTGAGGAGGGTGAAAAACCAGTTTATGGTATTTGATTTAAAGTCTATTGAAGGCTCTGTTCCCCCTTAAAACCTGTATCAGCATGTACTTCATCCCTAATGTTTTGAGTTTCTGTATTGCTTCTGTATTCATCTTTATTACTTTATCTTGTTCGGGATTAGTCACGCTTTCTACTCAGTTGTGGAGAGAGAAGAGAAGAGAATTGTCCTTGCTATCTAGACTTCTATACAAGTACAACGCACATAGCGCCCTTTCTCTTAACAGGCTTAGAAAGCTCTGCTGACACCCTTCCTCTGGGAGGTTCGGATACACACTGGTTTTGATTAGGGTATATTCCTTTAAGCTAAGGAGGAAAATTGATGAAATTTTTATCCTGACAATACACAATGGTACAAACAAAAATTTAATTTTTATCTATTTCATGATTTATCATATTTCGTGATATTTAAGGTTAACATTTTATTTTTAACTTAATCATGGTGCATTTTTTTTGTGTTTTATTTGATTTGGAAGGTAAATAAAGGAAAATTTTATTTCAGATTTTATTCTTTTCAAGGTTGATGAGGTCCTGGTTAGTTTAAATAAATCAAGTGAGCTGATAAACACGAGGTTCCTGGAGGAATCCTTGGCTAGGGTTCAACACAGACAAGAAACTATCTCAGATCTCATCATACAACACGAGAAGGTCAAACATTACAAACGATAAAAAGCTTCTGCCCCCACCCTGCAACATAGAATTTTTAAGATTTCAAATCAAACTCTGAACTTTATTTTTGAAGAAGAAATTTTTTAAGGACATTTACAAATTAAAATCTCCGAAATTTGTTATTTTTTTAGGTTTTAGATGAGAAGATTGAAAATATAAAATCCGATATTTTTGTTCAAAACACGAATGTCGGAAAACTTGCACATATTCAACTCAAGGTGAGAATTATTATTTAAAAATCATAAAATGTACAATGTACCCTCTATGTTAAATCCAATGGAGCCAGTACAGTTTAGCTCCCAATATCAATCCATGGATTATTTAAATTAACTGATCCTATTTAGTATTTTTATTTAAGGATCGTGAGCGGGATCAGCAGGTTGGATTAGAAAGAGAAAACTTTGTCAAGACAAATTTTGAATTGTTAAGAAAAGAGAACAAGGAACTTTTTCAATCTTTGACAAACTATTCAAAGGAACAAGAGAATATTTTATTAAACTAACATGGCGATTTTTGTCTTTTTTCCTCATCGTGAAAAAGGTCAATTGTTTCAAATCAAATGGTTGATCGAATCACCAAAATTACGATGATTAATATTAAAAAGAAAAATTTATTTCCACTGTGAAATAGAACTCTGCATTAAGTTTCAATGTTTCTCTTGTTCGACAGGAAATGGACGATAAAATTAAAGATGTCAGATCTCTTCTTCTGGTTGAGCAAAGAATGCCAAAATTTGAGGTAAATATGTCTTTCAGTTGGTGAAGGTTATTTATTCAGAAAATATATATTGTGCTTGACACGTCGCAATTTTACGTATTTTCTTAAATATACACTATACAGTGTGAGTCAAAAAAAAGTGCCTTTTTGTGAAATATTATACTTCTCTATTATGCAGTTCACACTTTAGATAGATTTAAAATAATTTTTTTAATTTTTTGTTGGGAGGGGGTTGATACACTCGAATGTCGAAAAATCCGTAAAACTTGCCAATTTAGATAACGTTCGGAATTTTTCTGAAGTTAATAAAACTGTTAAAAATTCAAGAAATATTTATGAGCTAGTATGGTGGATTCGCGTCCTTTTTTAGACACAGTTAAATTGTAATTTATTCGCAGTGCGGATGAAATTGAACTATCAAACTGAATATATTCTAATGTTGTTGTATTCTAGTCGAAAGTACTGGATAAGCTGGTCAGCCTGGAGTCTGCGCAGAAGAAACTGTTCCTAGCTGGAGAATCTACCAGTCCCGCTGTTCTTCCTGGACCTCAACCTAATATAACCGCCATCCTTGAAGCACATCATCGCCGGACTAAACAGACGGTTATTCTCAGCACTCTTATGGTGGCGGTTCTCACGCCGGTGGCGGTTTACGCTGTAAACCAGGTCTTATAGAAGAGTTGGTGAATTCTTAAAGTTATGTTCGCGTAAAATGAAATGAAGGTTAGGCTGAATCCTAATCATAGTCAGATTATTGTCCAAGGGCGCAAAGCCCATGTAAATTGTAAATTCACTTAGTTGCATTTTTCCACTTAACCAGTAAATAATTCAATTAAATTTAAAAGTAATAAATTAATTAGGACAAAACAATAATTTTGGACTGATTCGGGTCATTCGAATGTAGTAAATATTTCATTTTTCGCGAACACTCCCTTTAATATTTCTTTAAACTTCGTTATAAACCTCTTTTGCCGGTGCAAAGCTTAATATTTGGTTATTTATCTATAATTATTGTTAAAGAAAAATATGTAAGGGTAAATTATCAGAATAGTTGCTTAATCTCTCATGAAATCTACGAGCTGTAATAATTGTGAAAAAAAATTCTTTCAGATGTATAAAATCTATTTGGTTACCGACGGAAATAAAGGGTACGCTGAGAAGGTTGAGACAAATAGTAACTTGGAGTCCAGCCACTCCCCTTTACCCTCCCCCCTCCCCAGTCATCTGAGGCCGAGCTTAAAGAATTTGAGCCGCGGTTTAAATTTGAGCCGCGGCTCAAATATGGTTGGTTCCACTTAAAATTGTATTTAATGTTTCAAGATTTAAGCCGGCGCTCAATTGAAACCGGTTTTTGGCGGATTTGAGACGCGGCTCAAATTCTTAAATTCGGACTCAGGACGAGTGACGATTAATTTTGACTTTTCTCCGCCAATCTACTGAAGTATCCATTGTTTCTTAGGTACTGTTACTATTATTATCTTATTTAAAAGTGTGATATGTAATACTCTAAAATATTCTATTTATAAAAAAGATGAATTTTAAACTTTTCCAAACGCAAAATTGACCTCTTTTTTCGTTTGTAAAAATGTCATAAAAAGCATGATTTTAGAAATTTGAATTATTTTCTCTCTTATATTGGAAGGAAAAACAAAACAAAATTTATATATTTTAGAAAACTATTTGTAAATCAAGCAAACGTTATTCATATTAAAATTAGTAAATTATGTTGGATTAATATATATTTGGTTCAAAAATAGGGGTTAAAAATAATTTTGATCGAGCACTTGCTGACTTATAACTTTTAATAAACCTAGAATTTTAGAAGCAATACAAATTCATATATGATGCCGAGCTTTGGCTAAATTATTTATCATCGGATAATTTAATCTAGGGGGGGGGTATTTTATTTTTAGCCCTATTTCTGTAACCATTTTTTTAAGGTTTTCTTAAGTTTAAACATTAACTGTTATCATTCTGTTGAGCTAGGCAATTATTAATCAATTATTTTTCTGAATATTCAGAGAGAAAATGACAGAGAACGGAGATAAACCGAGTAGCTACCACACAGGGGTTGGGTAAGTTCTACAGACGATTTAATACTTTCACAATATAACTTTTTATTACATTGATTCCCAGTCCCTTTCTAGGAAGCTTTAGTTCGTTCTATTGATTAGAATCCACCACAAATGTTGTCTGTTTAAAATCCTATTTTTTTCTCATAAAAAAAACACCAAATACTGCATTTCTAAGTTGAAAGGGAGAGAACGAAGAAGACAGTTATACCGATTTAAAACTTGTCAAAGATTTTAAAAAATCAAAGTTTCAAAATCTTAAAGTTTCTGTCGTAGATGTTTGAAGTTGAATTGACCGAATTTAATGAAATTTAAGGGGCGATAAACTGCCAGCCACCGATTCAAATTTGAATCACTGATTCAAATTCTTTCTGAATATTAATTTTTTAATTGGTGGTACAAATTTGAGCTGGTAGTTGATAATTAGTGACGTAGCTCAAAATTATCAAATTCGATCCACAGTGGCCCTGAAGCAAGAATAGGTTTAACAAAAATGTCCCCAAAAACACTCAAGAGGTTGTAAAAATAAGACATACCACGATTACAAACCAGTTTTTAAGTAAATCTCAGCTGCTCGTCTGACTGAGATATACTTTTCAATTTTACAAGTAAATTCAGGAAAATGTGACAACATTATCTATGAATCTTAAGTTACATAAATTGGCCCCTAACTGCCCAGAAATATAGAAACTAAGGAACAGACCAAGAACTTTGATAACATTTATAAAAGGGGTTTTGATTCTCAAAATTTCCTCCAGATTTTAGGTAATCTCAGATGCTAAATATTGTGAGTATTATGAATGAAACAATAATTATCATTTTATATTCTTCTACATTATATTATCATAATTCAACCAAGTATACTTTTAGGACACTTCCCAACCTGAAAAATACATTTGTATCCCATTTCCCAACCTAAAACCATTCATAATATTCACAATTTTTAGAATCTGAGATTACCTAAAATCTAAAGGAAATTTTGAAAATCAAAACCCCTTCAATAAATCTTATAAAAGTTCTTGGTCTGTTGCCTAGTTTCTATATTTCTGGGCAGTTAGGGGCCAATTTATGTAACTTTCTTGTAAAATTGAAAAGTAAATGTCTCTGTCAGGCTAAGATTTACTTAAAAACTGGTTTGGTTTCGTGTTATGTCCTATTTTCCTATTTTTATAATATGTTGGCCGTTTTTGGTGACATTTTTGTTAAACCTATTCTTGCTTTAGGCCCACTGTGGATCCCCGGTTACATAAAATAGTCGGTAATTTTTTGTTGCGAAGGAGAGGATATATTATCTGAAGAAAAGATAAAGTTCCCTGTTTTATGTTTTTTATTTTCTTAGGAGCACTCTGACTGGTATAAAGTTAAAACGGATTCTCATGGACTGCGCTGAGAAGAAATGCATCTTCATAGAGGCTGAGGTTAGATTGAAATCTTTTTGTCCATCCAGACTTTCAGAGAGATCGTGATAATTGAGTCACAGATTTTGCTGAAAGTTCAAAATCAGAACCGCCACTTTTTTCATTAATTCATAAATTTTTTATAGAAGACGGTCAACACTTAAACGTTATTTAATTTAATTTTATATTCTAGGTTGAGAATTCTCCAGACCCAGCAATTATCATCCTGGATAAACTTCCTTTCACGTAAGAGAAATGTAACTTCAGAAAGAAACATATTATTCTTGGTCGGAATTTAAGGGGAAGAGAGAAATAGTTTAACTACCCTTGACCGTTTGAAATATTTTTCTTGTGTCACGAAGATCAAAATTAATTACTAACTATTTATTTTTATTCATAATTTCCAACTAACATTTTTATGCCAAAAATACTGAAATTGGTCGGGATTCGGATCTGATGGATCCCTACTTTTTTAGCTCCATGGATTCGGAGTTTGTTAACTAAAAAGTTTACATTTTTTGAGCCAACAGAACACAAATGTCGCCCATAAACTATTTTTCTGTCAAAGTTTAATGTTTTTCTAATAACAATATATTGTGTACAAAATTAAATTTCCTAACTCTAACTTTAGAACTTTTAAGAATGGTTTACTTAACCACGAATATGTTCTATTTACTGTCTGGGGAGGATACTCTGCAGGGGATTATGTCTGGATCTACTGGAAACTATTTAATGTTTAGGGAGGATACTCTGCAGGGAATAATATTTTGATCTACTGGAAACTATTTAATGTTTAGGGAGGATACTCTGCAGGGAATAATATTTGGATCTACTGGAAACTATTTATTGTTTAGGGAGGATACTCTGCAGGGGATTATATCTGGATCTACTAGAAACTATTTAATGTTTAGTGAGGATACTCTGCAGGGGATTATATCTGGATCTACTAGAAACTATTTAATGTTTAGGGGGGATACTCTGCAGGGAATAATATCTGGATCTACTAGAAACTATTTAATGTTTAGTGAGGATACTCTGCAGGGGATTATATCTGGATCTACTAGAAACCATTTATTGTTTAGGAAGGATATTCTGCAGGGGATTATATCTGGATCTACTAGAAACTATTTATTGTCTAGGGAGGATACTCTGCAGGGGATTATATCTGGATTTACTAGAAACTTTTTATTGTCTTGGGAGGATACTCTGCAGGGGATTATATTTGGATCTACTAGTTGGAAACTATTTAATGTTAAGGGAGGATACTCTGGAGGGGATTATATCTGGATCTACTAGAAACTATTTATTGTTTAGGGAGGATACTCTGCAGGGGATTATATCTGGATCTACTGGAAACTATTTATTGTTTAGTGAGGATACTCTGCAGGGGATTATATCTGGATCTACTAGTCTGGAAACTGTTCTACAGAACGATATATATGGACAGTATAGGCTTCTACCAGATCCCCAGCACAATGAAGGAAATCAAAACTATTTTGCCTGGCCGAATTTTTTGCTCGTAAAAAAAATTTATTAATTCTTTACCGACAAAAATTTCATTAAAAAAAAATCGGGAAAATGTTGACACAAATATTTTGTCGGTATTATTCTATGGTGTCAAAGAATATCGTAGCTGCAGATTTAAAAACAATCTTAAATAACTATTAGCTATATAGATTATTAAATAAACTGTTACAAATATCTAAAAAGAATGCTAGTTTAAATTTTGTCGAATACAGTGAAGGCAAATATTATCCATCCTGCTACACAGAAACATATTGACAAGTATACTACTTCACCCCCTCATCTAGGTATGTGTTAAAACACAGGGGTGTATTTTTTCTCAAAAATAATTTTGAAAATAATTTTTTCCCCACAAGATATATATGCTTGTTTAGGGTTTTATTTGCTGAATTGTGGAAAATAAATGGTTTGATTTGGGTACAAAATAGTCTAAAAATGTGGTAACCTTTTGATGTCAAATTTTTAAATTTTTTCCAAATCATCAAAAATCTTTCTGAAAAATAAGGTGGCCCATTTTGCACCCTAAAACCTAAAAGTTGTACCACAGAAACCAATGCAGCTAATATTGTTCCTTTTGGTGTCAGTTTTCATTTTTCAGAGTAATTTTTTTTCCTCTGAAAACTGACACCAAAAGGAACAATATTAGCTGCATTAGTTTCTGTGGTACAACTTAACGGTTTCAGGGTGCAAAATGAGACTCCCTACTGAAAAGTACACCCCTGTAGAAACATGAAGCGATTAATGACTTGACTGTCAATGATTGGATAAATAACTTTATTAACCACTTAATTGATAAACTGAGATTGAGACGCGTTCATTATAGTATTCACCTGTCTACAGGCCGATGATGAAAGTTTTTCTAGGGTAGACTACGAAAGTAGCTTTTTTCTCAATGATTGTAAACTTGATCATTGAAATGCTTCATGATATTACTTTTAATTTGAGTTATGATATGGAAGTGGTGTATACACTGTTTATTTGTATATCTTGGGAGNTTAAAAATATTTATTTTCCCCTTTAAATCATTTATTTTTCCCAATTCAGCGAATAAAATCCTAAAAAGAAATAGTTCTAGAAAATGAAAAAAAGGACATGAAAAGCCAAATATGTTCATTCTTTTTTCATTCTTTTTACACAAAAGTTTGTTTATTTTCCCCTAAAAATCATTTGTTTTCCCCAACTCAGTAAATAAAACCTTTAGAAAATAATTCTTCTGGGAAAAAAATTATTTTCAAAAGAGGGAGAGGGAGGGGGGAATGACATGGTTGATGATTTGATCTGATAGATGACTTGATTGATGACTTGATTGATGACTTGATTGATGCTTTGATTAAAGACTAGAAAGAGGACGTTTGGACTAAACTATTGACTTCTAAATGACTGGTTTGCCAACTTGTTGACCTTATTGATTGATTAGCAAAATATACTTCTCTGGTGAACACTGATTAATTAATTTATTAATTGATTAATTGATTAATTGATAAATTTATTAATTGATTTATTTATTTATTAATTGATTTTTTTATTTATTTATTAATTGTTAATTTAATTGATTAATTTTAATTGATTAATTTATTAATTGATTATTTTAGTTTACGAAACTGCTGAATTATATCACGGTGTGACACTGCCCTTTATTGAGAAGGAGAAGTTTTCAGTCAGCTGGGTTTACAACTTCCTAGGTATCATTCTTATCATTTTTATCCTTATTGTCATTATTGTCATTATTATCATTGTTATAACTGTTATCATTGGTAGCATTATTATCATCATTAGTTTTCAGTCAGCTGGGTTTACAACTTTATCATTGTTATCACTGTTAATACGGTTATCTTTATTATCATTATTATCAGTTATTGATTATTGATTGATTAGATCATAAGAGTGAGACTGATCGTGTGATTTATGAGAACTCTGATCCTATAAACGGGTTTATGATGGCTCCAGATTTCAAGTGGAACGGGAAACAGGTGACACTTGATTCAAGCCATTTAAAGGGGCTGTAAATGTTATTTCAAGTGACCCTCCATGCAAAGAGGGCAATGCTCAAATAAACACGGTACCCTCCCTACCTTTGTGTGTTCGTTTGTGTGTTTAAACTCATCGAACCCCGCTCGTATTCAGCTGCAGTCCTGAGTGCGCTGTGTTGATATCATTGTACATCGGGCATTGCCCTGTTATATTGCAGTGGAACTTTAATGTGATTTTAAGTAACACTTCTCTTGAAGAGTTCGATGTCCGATTCACAGCAGTACTCTTTTAACGTTTGCCTGGCCAAAAATAAGACAAACAAATTCTATCAGAAAATTGATAATTGTTAATTGCGGTTTTTTTTGTAAAAGTGATCTGCAGATCCATACGGTAGAGCCAATGAAGGAAGTTCAGACAATTTATATCCTTTCAATGTATAAATACTACGGTGTCTTACTCATTCTAAATCCGGTAAAGGGCCAAAGGGTGTCGTTGAATGTGACTAGGGCATGTAACGGTTTAAATTTTCCTTGCTAAATTAAATAAGTTTCAAATTGCTTTGTTTAAGAAAGAATGTACACTATATTTTGATAATATTTTGACTATTCAGTTGGTGAGGGAGTAAATATTGAAAATTAAGTTTAATAAAACTATTAACATTTGATAGCACAGTTTTATTTAGATTGAAGATCTGTACTGCCTAGCTATTGTACACAGGAGGGATGTTAAATCTCTCAGGTTAGATTATTACTTATTCTGACAAAGAAATTATATAAACCAGACTTAACAGAAAAGAAATGAATAATGGTGAAACGAAAAGATTATCTAGCAAAGTTTTTTTTATCAACCGGACTATTAAGTCGGACCATAAAGAATGATAAAAACATCTTTTAATCTTGTTTAGTTAAACAACAAGTTTTAACCCCACGCCCAATTGAAAAATATTCAACTAACGCAGACTTTAAAGTTAGCAAATATGAATTTTGTTATTTGCGTATTTAGGTCAATAAATGATACCATCATTTTCTTCCAATTTTTATTTCATATATGCGACAATAAAAAATAAAATTCTTAAGGTTTTAGGATTATAAATATTTTCAAATTTTTGCTTTTTGTTAAATTTATTATTAAAAATTTTAAGAATGCAAAGTAGTTGTTTTTATGTTTATAATTAGGGATTTATCGAATGTCCATCTGCCCATGCTTTACAATCTACAGAAGGAAGGAAAGAAGGCAATATCAGACAAATATGGATTACCATCTTCACAGATTAGGTAACAGTCAGGGGAATCATATTCGAAAGAAAGAAAATGAATCTTTTGATGACTATTGCTTCAAGCAAAATACTGGTTTTATTTTTATAAGTTAGAATTATTCATCAGGTTTTCCAAAGATTTACAATTCTAAAAAATACGTTTATTTTTTAATTTATTCAAGATTTTAAATAATAAAAATTGGGAACTTTTAGAAATGTATTTGTTGATGTTATTAACAACTTTAATTTGATAATTTTTTTCAGGGCATATGTTCACTACCAGCCCTCCTATTATCATTTTCATGTTCACTACACTAACCTTGCCTTTACACCACCAGGAATATACCAATATCAACATTTAGAACAAGTTTCTTATACAAGTCATCCTCTACCCCTTACTTTATTTTCAATATTCATTAATAGGAGGGAATTTGGGTTTGAGCTTCTTCTTCAAAACAAACTCGGAGGCGTAATCATTGTAAAAAAGTTGAAAATTTTACATTTTTGATGATTTTTCGCTCCTTTTACACCCTTCCTCCCTGACAAACACACATTATGGCAGGGGCAGTTACCCTTTTTTTTGACCCATACAATCCTACAGTTAGAACCTTTAAACTCGGGAATAGAGACGACATTTAGACTCGATCTATGACTGTAAATAGTGCAAAAGACAGCAGTAATTGTGCAGTGTAAACAGACCCAATTCAATTAATAAGTGATTTAAAGTTACTATTAAAACTATTTGCTTTGTAGCCACATCAAATATCATTATTTATTGATTTAATATTGTCTTTATTTTTTTCTGTTTCTCACTGTATTAGTTTGAAAGAGGGACTATTGTGGTTAAAACAACTACTTCATATCATCACGTCAATATAATGATTTTCTTCGCCAAATATTGGTATTTACTGAGGCGTAAACGCTGAGAAGAGTCACATGCTCGAAACCGTTATCAGGCAACCAATCATTTTATGCTTACACATTTCTTTAACATTGTTTCAGTTTTCAGATTTCAGATTACTGGACAAAAATATGATTAAATAACCAATCTATCAAATTTGCTTTTCATTTTTCAAAACCAATAGCATATTAGTTTTTCCATAAAATCATTAACCTTTTGCCACGGCTAACTCGCGTGGGTTTGGACTAAGTACTATATAGAATTAGCAAAAATAAATAAATTAACGAGATTTGTCGCATTACACTCAAAAGCGGTAAGTTTTCCTACGATTAAGGTTTGAAGTGATAAATCCTTTGTGAAACTTTATATTGATAAAAGATCGACAGTCCCTTCAAATCAAAAATGACTTTCTAGGTTTTATTTGTTGAAGAAAGAATGTTTAGTAATTTAAATAGCCCCAGAGCGTTAGCAATTCTGATGTTAAAATTTAAATTTTATGATGAAACAATGATGGTTGGTTCTAGTAACCTGGAGAATAATCCCAGTTTCTACCAGGAGGCCACCCTCAGCTTCGTAGTCAGGGAGAAGGAGAAGCTATTCAAAACCTACCAGGAGTTCGGATACTTTAAGGTGACGAACATCCAGAATCTTCAGTTGGTTGGTTGGTTGGTTGGTTGGTTGGTTGGTTGGTTGGTTGGTTGGTTGGTTGGTTGGTTGGTTGGTTGGTTGGTTGGTTGATTGATGGAGATTCAAGTTCTTGGTTCTTGGTTGACTGCTGATGGATTTTGACTGGTTGGTTGGTTGGTTGGTTGGTTGGTTGGTTGGTTGGTTGGTTGGTTGGTTGATTGATTGATTGATTGATTAGGAGATTCAAGTTCTTGGTTCTTGGTTGACTGCTGATGGATTTTGACTGGTTAATTAGTTGATTGATTAGTTGGATGATTGATTGATTGATTGGTTGGATGATTGATTGATTGGTTGGCTGATCAAGAGAAATTTGAGTTAATAGTTCTTGATGGCTTTTGGTTGGTTGGTTGATTGATTGATTGATTGATTGATTGATTGATTGATTGATTGACTAGGAGAGTGTGAAGACTGTTGAGTTTATGGATCTTGAGTTCGAGGAAGATGATGGTAGGAAGGTTCTAAACTTTCTCCAGATGATAGGAAAGGCTAAACATGAACCCAGGTATGTAAAACATATAAATCCTTTACTCATGCAAACTTCACCTATTTTTTTCTCTTATTCAAGACAACCAGGGACCGAATTTAATTAATTTGAGCTAGATCGTTGAAATACCTACCGCTGGTTCGATCCGTTTTTAAAAACATTCTTTTATTTCAAATCTAAACTTTCAGATCATTGACAAATCCTGAATCCCCGACTCAAGATACATGGTTGAACCATCTCTAAGCCTAGCCAGTTCCTACCCTTGAGAATTTAGATTTCAAGTATATTGAACAAGAATAAAGCCCAAAGTTAACTAGGATATTTACAATTTCGAAGATGGCTTGACTTTAGGAGACTTCAAACCACATGTGTTCAAGGTTTATTTTTAGCGGTGAAATATGGGAGACGACCTACGGTGAATCTTCGTGGAGGATGGCAATACTGTGCATGTGTCTTCCATCATCTGTTAATAGGTTAGTTCATTCTTACAGTCTGTGTATAAAGTAAAAGTGTTAATGTGAACAAGTTAATATTTATTTTCACAGAATTTTTACTTCTTACATCCATACTCACTCCTCTCCTGGACCAGAGACGGGTTAAAAAAAGCTCATGAAAAAGTAACAACAGATCTTGAAAGGTGAAGATATTGAGCTTTCAAAACCATTGAGCTCAAAATTGTATCAGTTCTTTACTATACTAACACATTTTCAGATTACTTTTTTTGGTATTTTGGTAGAACTTTACTCATTTTATGTTTAAGCAGAATAAGTTCTTCAACCCTTCACTATATTGGTTGTAATGCTAATACAAAGAAGGTGAAAGTATTTTGGAAACTAGAGAATGAGTTCTTTCTGTTTGATACTGATCATTATTGCTTACAAGCCATTTATGTACATTGTACACTGTACATGTGGAAACATGAATTTTTGTTATTCACAAATAGCTTTAATAAGTGTGTTTTGTCCCGGCCAATCATATTTCTTAGGTTTAGATGGTTTGAACGTTATATATTATGAGAAAGAATATATCGGTCATGTAACAAACATAAATCCTGGGGGGGGGGGGTAGGTACATAGTACATATGTCGACTGTCGAGATAGTCCAGGGACAGGGTTAACTCAGTCAACAAGTTAAGATTTATTATCCAGCAATACAAAATGGAACTAAACTTGGGCAGACCAAATAGACAAACCTATGTGTCCTAGAGATATATATCGATTGGGGGACAAGCAGACGTGTAGGATTGGCGGTGTGGGCGTTTAAGCCACAACATTACCAGTACACTCTTGCAGTATAATAAATTAATTATTGTAAAACATCCCAGGAAGGGAAGAGTGGGGTTGCTGATGTGTTTGGATTTGCTGTTTGTTGGGCCGGCCGTTTGGCACCCAATAGTCTTGTAGTAGAGTCTGAGTAGAATAAATACATATTTTAAAAACTATCTAGGAATAAGCTTGTACAGCTCTCCCTAGTGTCTAGCCTGTCCAGCCTAGGCTCCTGTAACGACGAGAACACGGAGTGGGACACCAAGCTTCAAGAAGTCAAAACTATTCTCAGGTTAAAAATATTAAATTTATCTAGAAATGAACCATACTCGACACTCGTAATTTTAGGTAACCCTTTGTGTTAATAAAATTGAGAAATATTCTCACTTTTCTAATTAAAATTGATCAATTTTAATTGTGGTTTCTATTAAAATTACTTGTGGATTTAATGCGACTTAGCAGTAAGCACGTAATTTACAAATTTAGCATTCTTAATATGGAAAAAATACAATTTTTTTCCACTGTTGCTAAGATAACGATTCCAAGGTACCTTTGTCAATGGACCTGTCATTCTTCAAATAAGGGGTCATGTAAAATTGCATTCTACAGTTTCTTTATCTTAATTTTTAATCTTATTTGTTACAAATCTGTTCTAAACGGACTTGAGAATATAAACGTACCCGTCTAATAGTAACCTTATTTGGTTTACAAGTTCTAAATTCGCAGGAGAACCGAAATTGATATAAAAAGTATATTCAGAAAACTCATACCTCTGGGTTGATGCTAACTGTTGGAAGTATTGAAAGTATTTTTTTTTCATATCAGCAAAATTTGAAATAATATTGAAAACAAACCCAAAACAAAACAAAAAGGGCTCATATAGGTTTTAAAATACTGGAAAATATTCTATATTCAGAGAGTTCCTGCCACCGTTAGTTGCTGGAAAGCTAGCCGCTCTGTTTACTGAGCACGCTGAGATCCGACGAGGCCGGCTGGTCAGCTCAATAGAACACCAGCTATACAGGGGGATCATGGAACTTGAAGAAATTATTCTCAGGTATAAAAACTTGTGTTTTCTCATTCGCACGAGCTCAATCTATCTCTCAAAAACTGACTGGTAAAAAGTTTCTTGGTGCAAAAAGCTACAAACCCTGAAGATAAATTGTAACTGCCGCGACTATTTGTCAAATATTAATTCATTATATAGGTGGGAGGAAGAGAAGAAATCCTGTCCTGATTTATCTAAGGCCTCCATTTTGAAAAAGATGGCGGAGCTTCAGTTCCCTGGATCCACGCGTTTTAACGAGTTTAAGGTAATTAACCTTGGATAGACTTCAATAAGATAATTTGAATTTTATTTTAAGATGTTTGGATTGATGAATTGGTAAATTATAATATTTGTTAACTTCTTTTATGAAGGGGTTGTGGATATAATTTCAAATGATCTATCGTTAAAAGGGGGTGGATTCCCCAATTCACAATAACTGTACCTTTTAAATCTTTGCCTCAGCAAAAATGATGAAGATATCTTTTTTTTAGCTTATCGGTAATTCTCTATAAAAGTCATTTGCGGATATATACAGCATTTAACTTGAAGTTATTTATATCTTTGATAAGTCGACTTGTCTTATCTTTTTTCCACAGCGTAAATGTAGGTTGCATATATTAAGAAGAATTGATAAATTAATTTTTATTTCACAATGATAGGACCCTCTTCTCCTGGAGAAATCTCTCAACTTTATTCTGGAGATATCAACTCTACAGAAACTCAAGAGAACCGGATGGGTCAACTGTCAGGTAGAACGCTTTTATTAGATTAAAAACTCGCAAAAGTACCTTACGTTTCCCCTGCCCAATGCCCATCAGTCTTTGCGCAGTTGTCCGTATTTCTTTCACTCGACAGAAAACGATTAGCCTCAGGGATAAGCCCGTTATCCTGTATTGCCCAAGGGGCTAAGGGAACTGTTTTTGATAAAGTTGCGTTTCTCTTAAATAATACGGTTCGGCCGGTGATAGGTGACATACAATATACATGCATACAATTAATTTCGTCGCTAGGCTTTTATGTAAGATTATTCCAAATAGCTGGAATGTCCAGCGTTGCCCCGTGTACTCATAAACAGGGTGGCCAAAATGTACGGATTGTACGGATTGATTTTTTTTTAACCCTAAAATTGTACGGATTGTACGGATTGCACGGATTGTACGGATTTGTTTTCAAATTGTACGGATTGTACGGATTTTATCCTGGAAAATACACCGTTTTTTTTAAATTTTCACNTCCAGTATCCTGTATCCTGTATCATGTACCCTGTATCATGTATCCAGTATCCAGTATCATGCACCTAGTATCATGTACCCAGTATTTAGTTTGTATATATGTATGAAGCCAATTTTTTACAGATTGATTCTTGCTGAAGAAGTTTAAACCCTCTACAATGAATGAAAAATTGAATTTTAATGTTTTTTTCAAAAATGGGATTTTTTCGAAAATTGTGCTGATTGTACAGATTTTTTAAAAAAATGTACGGATCTTTAAAAAAATGTACGGATTGGTTTAAAAAAATGTACGGATTGTACGGATTTTTTTAAAAAAAATTATACGGATTGTACGGATTGTTTTTCGAAAATTGTACGGATTGTACGGATTTCTTCTGAAAATGTACGGTTTTTGTACGGATGGGTTCAAAAAAGTTTTGGCCACCCTGCATATATATTCCCGCCGTTTACCCGCGCTTGGTCTTAAATTACGATTTAGCTATTTTCCCCTATAAAAGTGGACTCACTCTACCAAGAATCTCAAAACCAAACTAAGAACATTCCCGTGGTTCTCCCGAGTTCCCCAATCAAACAGAGATTACTAACAAATGTGAGCGAAGAGCTTTATTTTATGAATTTTCGTGAAAATGTTGTGTACCCCTAAATCAATCTATATATTATTTATAAAAAGGTTCGTGAACCTGAGACTGTAGCGTCCCATATGTTCCGAATGGGGTTCATGGGGGTTATGTTCTCGCACAAGGAAAGGTAAACCATGTTCTTCAATATGATTATTGTTAAATGATTTAATCATAATAGATTTAAGTTAACAAGTCTAATTGGGGATAAATTTGATACACAAATGTCATACAATTACAAGCTTAAAGACCTTTTTTCATCCTTGATTTAGAAAAGTCACTTAGATTTTGGAGCGTGGAAATTAGGACCTTGATATGATTTGATTTTAACAAGTCTAATTTGGAGATTAAATGAATACCTAATTAGATGAAATAATTTTCTTAAAGGGCAATTGCTAAATTCCGGAGCTTGGGTCTTGATTTTCAAAATTTATTTAACCTGCAATTTATTGTTTATTGCTTCATCCTTCAGCCCAACAACATCTTGTAATTTCGCGATGTATAAAATGTAGGGCAATTTTAATTCAGGAAAATGTTTTATATTCGCACTTGTAATTCCGACTTGTATATTCACTCTTTTTTAAGCACCCGCGCTGCTGATGCTTGCATAATCTCTATAATGCACGATATGGCGGAGTGTAGAATCGGAGACATCACTCCACACTGTAAGGTTAGAGATTCAAACTCAGAGGATTTAGCGTTGAACTAACATGCAGTTTCTGTATACATCTAAAATTAACTTTTCTTTCTTCTAATTACTTTTTTTACAAAATGTTACAGAAATCCCATTTAGACTTTATTAGCATAAAAATAAGAAGGGGCGATTATTGTAAAGGAAAATATACACCCCTTAAACTACAAAGTTGATCTTTTCTCAGGTTCCTGCTGAGGAGAAGAAGAAAAAGGAGATGCTAGCCTTCACAGGGCTCATTGAGAACCTACCTGAGAGTACAGGGATGGATCTACTCATCCCTTTCAGGTTAGCTCTCCAGGATGGGACGGAACGGAACGGAACGGAACGGAACGGAACGGGATGGGATGGCATGGCATGGCATAGCATGGGATATGAATGGCATGGCATAGCATGGGATATGAATGGAATGGGATATGAATGGGATATGGATGGGATGGGATATGGATGGGATGGGATATAGATGGGATATAGATGGGATGGGATGGGATGGGATGGGATGGGATGGGATGGGATGGGATGGGTTTGGATGGTTGTACATTGTACAATCTTAGTTTTAAACATTTTATAATTACAGGAGATACGAGAACCAAACTCCTGGAGACCTGAACGCAATTCTCACCAAGGATTTTGATAAGTTTGATATGATTCTTCAGGTAGCGAGATTCATTTTAATTTTTTATCTTCCTTGCTTCTTCTTCATGTCCCTAAATCCGAATTTGCATTTTTAAGTAAATAAATCGGCCGAAATTGCGATCCATATTATTATATACCTTTCATGTTTACGTTTTGATTGTCGTAATTCATAAGAAAATAGATAACATTTTGCTGTTTCATTAATCAAAGCGGGGAAAAATTGAGAAAAGAGAGAAAATCCAATGGATTTTTGTTTTAATCAATACAAACCAATAAAAATTGTTTTTGTACTTAAAGTATAGAATGCAATAGACGAAAAAAGCAAGATTAAAAGCAAGTTTTTAATCTTTTCTCGTACTTTTTATTTAATTTTTATTAATACTAGAAATTCAAGGCCCATCTTCCTAGGGTTTTAGGGCGCTTCTATTTAAATTGTGAACATGTTCTTAACTTCTTTTTGTTTACATTTTAAAACGGAGAAGAAAAAATTTTGCGGATTTTAAGAATTTAATTTTTTTTACAAAATTAAAAACCTTTAAAACACATTTTTAAAAAAATTTTATCATTTATAAACATTCCCTGTGGTCACGTGATGTCTCACGAAAAAATTGGGCCCGATCGGTTCAGCCGTTTTGACGTTTATTGGATACAAACAAACAGAAAAACAAACAGACAGACAAGCCAAATTTATATATAGATTCTCCAATTCAGCGTATTAAACGCTTTAAGAACTTTTTTCCACTTAGCGCAAACATACATTCTGGTATAAACTGATTTTCAACAGAAAGGGGGTTTTGTTTGATTGTTTAAGAAAATAAATACTCTTGTTCTAATATTAAATTAAAACCTGAATAAAATCCTTCTTCTCCTAGGCGTTCGAGTATGAGAAGAGAGAGAAGAGAGGCAAGTTCCTTCAGCAGTTCTTCGACTCAACACAGACCGTGTTTGAAACTACAGCTGTTAAGAAATGGCAGAAAACACTTCTTGAGATGAGAGAAGAGTTTTTTAACCAGGAGCTTTAGTCGGAGTTCTTTAACCAGGAGCTTTAGTCGGAGTTCTTTAACCAAGAGCTTTAGTCGGAGTTCTTTCACAGAGTTCTTTAACCAGGATCTTTAGTTGGAGTTCTTTAACCAGGAGCTTTAGTCGGAGTTCTTTAACCAGGAGCTTTAGTCGGAGTTCTTTAACAGAGTTCTTGAACTCCATGAGTTCTCTCAACTCATGAATGCTCTCAATTTAGAAAGCCCTTGTTTAAGTAAACCAAACCTTCTATGGTGTGATTTCTTTTAAATCAGGAACACGTATTTTAAGATCTTAAACTATTAACTCTAGTTTAAGTTTTTAAAAAACGAAGCTACAGTTGTAATTCTTTTAACCAGGATGGTTTTTTTTTAATTCAGGTTTTGTATATTTTATAACCTTCAACAGTTGATTTGGACCTGATGTTCTAGTGTCGTAAATTCGGTTTTTTTGTAATGTTAAACCATCCGGCAAAAAAATATGTTTTTCTTTGTTAAGTGTTATTTTTTTCCCTGGTATTTTCAATCAGTATTTTGTTCATCTTTTTTTAAACTTTATTTTGCACCAGTGCTGTCTAAGATGAGAAAATTGTTGCTAATATTTGCAAATTTGATTCCTTCAATGTAAATATTTTCTAATTTTGTTTCCAGATATAAAATGACAACCTCAGCCCCTGCTACGCCCAATGTAGCCGCCCTCAGCAATAAGAATGTTAATTCTCCGCTCAGGTTGGTCTTTAAACACGACGAATCAGTGGTATTCAAATTATTCCCTTTCTAATCATAATTTCTTATCTTGCAGAATTTCAGTTGTTTGGGTTAAAAATGATTTTTTTGTAGAAACAAATGAAGTCAAATTCGGGGCAAATCGGTCAAGAAGTTCTTGAGTTCTGATCTGCTACAGAAAATGCAGACGAAGATTTTTATAATTTATATTAAGATTTAAATCTTGAAATAAAAGCACTAACCTTTTTTTAACTATACTCACTTTTGAGTAAAGAGATAAAATATATTTAAATATTCCACCGGACCCATACATTTTTCTCAGCTGGAGAGTTACCAACTGTTTGATTCAAGTATTGGAGCCGCTGCTCCTTTACACCATACTCTTAAAGGCGGCCAGTTCGCCTGCCCTCTCAAAGTTTTTTAAAAATATCCTTTTTTTGTTATATTGATTTATGCAATTAAATTTGTTTTTTGGTACTTTTGACTACGGTAATTTGAAATTATTTATAAGTAATTTCCTAGTTATTGATTTAGGAAATTAAAAACATGCACAATGCACATTGCACAAGAAATACCAATGTTTAGCAGGATTAAATTGTTAATTTCTTTCCTTAATTTTTTCTCAAGAAACTTTAGGATGGCCATTTTAGGTTTTAACTGAGATTTTATCAACATGTTATTAGAAAGAGAAAATCCTGAAAATTAATAGTTTAAACGTGATAACTGGGGTTTTGTCACTTGTTTGAAGGATGCAGGTCTGCAGAAGGATCAAGGAGATGATGTCCTTGATGAACTAGGGTTGATAGTCCTAAGCCTAAAAACTCTCCAGAAGAAATTCTATGGCAGTACAAACTTCGGATTGTATAATGCATAAACAAAAAATATATTTAAATATTCCACTTTATTGTGTCATCCCTCATTAATAACAATTATCCTATTAATTGTTCAGATCTAAAGAGGTGTTGTTGCCTCTGAACAAGGTTAAGTTGATAATGAAGAGTTCTCCAGAGGTGGAAAATATAGGAACAGAGAGTCTTTTTCTCATCACTAAAGTAATTTTAATTTAATTCTCACAAAAACTTTTTCACATACATGAACGTACACTATAGTGTACACTTAACAGAATGTTTTAAATTTATTCTTTACTTCGTTAGCTAGAATAGCCCTTACTTTTATTTATAACATGGTTAATAAGGTTATTTTTTTTTGGGGGGGGGGATAATATTTTCAGGGGTGGGGGGTGGGGGATAGAACATTTTTCCGTTAGATCAAAAAATAAATAAGAACCTTCCAGAACCATAAGGTAGAAATTGTGCAATTCGTTGATTTCTTTTTTTAATTTCTAGGAAATAAGATGTTTCTCGGGAATATGTTTTTAGTCCTATTTTACTTTAAAGGGACTGTCGTCGTAAAATCAAGAAACCCTTCATTGAGGTACTTGCCAGATATAGTGGACAATATTCTTGCTGGAATTTTCTCCATTGTTTTACATCAAAAATCCTCAGAGAAGCCATAAATAAAAATTATCTATTTTCAAACAGAAAAGTGTGAATATCTAATTCATTCAGTCAAAGCTTTTAAGGGCATCGTTGTGAAGGGTGCTCTGTAAATTACATCTTCAGTCCCTTCAAAGTTTTTGGAAATAGTTGTTCTTTCTTCTAAATATAAAAACTTGAGTTCATACAATATTTATAGGCAACTGAGTTGTTTATTATGTACCTGACCAAACTCAGCCAAAGACATGGAAATGTAGAGGTAATATTTAGGATTTCTATGTTAGTGAGGGTGGGTGGGGGGTATTTTAACTTGGAAGATTGTGTTTCTGCAACAAGGGAAATTATGTTAGGACAAAGAAAAGAATGTGACGGAATTTTGGTGGGTTTTTTTGCACGAAACATGCAATTTTTAAATAAAACAGTGTCGAAGGAGGTCATTGTTAGAACTTAGCTTACACAAATTCACTTCACTTTGGTCCATGAGAGAGAAATGGGGGTGGGGAGGCATTTTACTTTTAATTACATGATTTAATGAGCTAAGCTAATAATAACAAATTATATGTTCCCGGCATGGCATTTTTCAATTTCAGGAGTTAACATACGCGGACCTAGCTTCAATTGTAGCAAGGAAACAAATTTTTTAAATTAATTGCATAATGCCCTTATGATGACATTTTCTTATCGATTATGATAATATTGATAGATTGGTTAGTTCTTCATAAAAAATTTAAACGTTTTTGATTTGATAAAAATGATTTTTGTTTAAATTTAAAGTTTGTGTATAGAAAGGACAGTATGGAGTTCCTTCAAGATATTGTTCCAAAGAAGATTAAATATTCTGAGTACCTCGAGATTATGGAGAAAGAAAACCAAGTAGAGGACAGCCTCTACTAGGAACCTGTTGAGGACCGCCTCTATTACCTGTTGAGGACAGCTTCTTTTAGATTCGATTAGGACTCTGGCAGCCTCTGATTTATTTTGAGGACAGCCTCTATTAGACATCTGTAAAGGACAATCTCTTTAACATGTAGTAGACAGTCTCTACAAGATTACGTTAAGGACAACCTTTGATTTCTGTTGAGGACAGTCTCTACTAGATTACGTCAAGGACAACCTCTGATATTTGTTGATGACAGCCTCTACTAAATCACGTTAAGGAAAGGTGTTGAGGACATCCTCCACTAGATTTGTGTAAAGGACAATTTCTATATTATCAAAGTATAGGACATCCTGTACAAGATAAAGGTTAAGGATACCCGCTTCTTTTTCATAGTGCGGGACAGACTCTTCTAGATCTCAGGAGAGAACAGCCTCCATTAGATTCCGATAGAGGATAGTTTCTATTATACAAAAAAAAGAGGTCAACCTTCACTTTATCACAGTAGAGGACAACCTTTATTAGATCAAAGCAGAGGACAACCTTTTTTAGATCAAGATAGAGGACTGAGAACCTTTATTAGATCAAGATAGAGGACTGAAAACCTATATTAGATCAAGATAGAGGACTGAAAACCTATATTAGATCAAGATAGAGGACTGAAAACCTATATTAGATCAAGATAGAGGACTGAAAACCTATATTAGATCAAGATAGAGGACTGAAAACCTATATTAGATCAAGATAGAGGACTGAAAACCTTTTCATGATAATGCTAGAGAACACGCTCGACTAAATTAATGTCTAAAATTGTCTTCTATACTGCATTATGATAAGGAAACTAAACTCTTCTTGTCTTATAGGTCGTAAACTTGAAACTTGTTTTAGTACAAATTGTAATAATGTTAACGTAACATGAATTAAGAATATCCAAGTAAAAACTGAACATATTTTTGTTATTTTTAATCAAATAAAAAATTGAAATTGTGAGAGTAATGTTTTCCTATTATTACTCTAAACTTTGGCAGAAATTAATTTTGATAAGCATTTATTTCATTTGAAAATAATAACATTGAACATACATTTAAAGTGAGTGTTCGCGAAAAATTAAAGCGGGTATAGGCTTAGGTCAAAAAAAAATCTGATAGTGATTGTTACTGCTCTTACTTCTATTTGTTGCGTCTTTAAGGAGAAAATTGTAATAAACTACTCATACCGTCCATATAAAGCCAGAAAGTTGCAATATTTGACTAAAATCATAAACAAATCAATTTATTTCCTAACTAATCATTCAGATATTACAACCTATAATCATCGATTTTTTTTCGACGTATACAGTGGAGTTTTCATAATATTATTGATTTGTTTTTATATATGATGCAGTTTAAACGATAATTAGTTGGCTGCCGAGTGTCTCTAATCTCGATGTTTCTGCATTGTTCCTCGTGTCAGCGACACTTTTCGGACAAAAAATCGTAGTTTTAAGTGCATTTTATATTAAACAAATAAAAAATAATATTGACGATACGTTCTTCGAATATTTTTCGACGTAGGCCCCCTTTCATTTTTCGCGAACACTCTTCAAAAACATAAAGTGTTACATTATATGTACATATCTTTTATCATTTAGTATCAGGCTTATGAATGCTTATGTAAGAACAATAACAATATATAAAATAAAGATCATGGTCATACACACTTTCAAAAGTTTTAAACAAGAATAGCTAAGAAAAATTCCAAATCTTGTTCTTTTTTATGTTGTTGTGTAGCTACTTAAAAGAACTGGATCTAGTTTGGTCTATATAGTTTGAGTTTGCTTAGAACTAGATATAGTTCGGTTTATCTAGTTTTAGTTTGGTAAGAACTAGATCTAGTTTGGTTTATCTAGTTAGAGTTTGCCTTGAACTAGATATAGTTTGGTTTTTCTAGTTTCAGTATGGTAAGAACTATATCTAGTTTGGTATATATAGTTTGAGTTTGCTTAGAACTAGAATTAGGTTGGGTTATCTAGTATTTAGTTTGGTAAGAACTAGATATAGTTTGGCTGATGTAATATTGAGTTTGGTGAAAACTAGATCTAGTTTGACTTATCTAATATTGAGTTTGGTAAGAACTTGATCTATTTTGGTTTATCTAGTATTTAGTTTGGCACAAACTATATCTATTTTGGATTATCTAGTATTGAGTTTGGTGAAAACTAGATCTAGTTTGGCTCATCTAGTATGGAGTTTGATTAAAACTAGATCAATCTTGGTCTATCTAGTTTTAGTTTGGTAAGAACTAGATCTAGTTTGGTTTATCTAGTATTTTTTTGGTACAAACTATATCTAGTTTGGTTTATCTAGTATTTAGTTTGGTAAGAACTAGATATAGATTGGCCGATCTAGTAGTATTGAGTTTGGTGAGAACAAGATCTAGCTTTGCTTATCTAGTAATGAGTTTGATGAGAACTAGATCTATAGTTTGTCTTATCTAGTATTGAGTTTGGTTAGAACTAGATCCAGCTTGGTTTATTCATTGTTGAGTTTGGTGAGAACTAGATCTAGTTTGGTTTATCTAGTATCAAGTTTGTCAAGAACTAGATCTAGTTTGGTTTATCTAGTATTGAGTTTTGTTAGAACTAGATCTAGTTTGGCTTATCTTGTATTGAGTTTGGTTAGAACTAGATCTAGTTTGGTTGCCAGGTTAAGAATTTGATCCTGTAAGTTCTCCTGGTTCTTCTGTAGGTTGAGGAGAAGATCAGATATTTCTCCGGGTCCTTCCAACCCCAGACGAGTCTTCCTAAAATAAATATTGGATTGATTGAGGATTTGAACTATGGATTGTGTTTGTTTAGAAGAAGATACTAACTTGATAACAATATCTTTAGCTGCTTGAATTATCTCTGCTCCCATGCAATCTGTTGGCATGCAAACAAACCGGTTTGTTCTCCTAGAACACGAAAGGATCAGTCGGATATAGACTTATTAATGAAGAGACTGGCTTAAAGGCTATGTAAGGTAGTTGAACTGAATATGTAGTGTTGTGGAAAGCTTCTTCAGGATTCATTTGAGACATATAAAACTTTTTAAAGGTCTGTAAATCCTTAGTTCGAGCGCAAATTCGACGTTCAAAACTCCTACTTTGGCGGTGGATACGTTTTCACAACACTGCGTACTCAGTTCAACTACCTTACATAGCCGGTCTGGCCCTTTAATTTCAAGTGACCCTTTATGCAAAGATGACAATTTCCAATTCACAAAGGTACCCTTAAACCCTTGATCTGATAATGTGGAAGATATTCGTTTTTCTAGATTTGGAAAGTTTTGATTTTCGATAATTCTATGTTTTTCTGCCACATGTCAATTTTGTAGAGAACCCATATAGTTGAAAATTATTAGTTTCAAGATTATGAACATCGATAATATTTCATAATATTTTACTTGATCAGGTGAATCGAGCATTGCCATCGTAACAGAGAAGGTCCAACAAGAAATCTAATTTATTGAAGATTTGATACGATCTAAACCTCAGGTTTGCTAATATGAAGTTTTTTAAAGAACGATTTTATCTAATTCTAGTGCTAAGCCGCCAGGTTTATTTAAATCCATTGTTTCGCAAACATTCCCTTTAACAAATTATTTATTACCTGTTTGGTTGCAAAACCAGTTCTTTATCTGGTAGCCAGGTATAGAACAAAAGTATACCTGTAGCACCCGTTATCTAAATTCAAATCAATGGATCAAACAAAAAAAGTAATGTGAAACCTTGAAGAAAAATTTATACAATCACGAAACCTCTCACTGGACTGAGAAAGTTTTCTAAATATGTATAATATTTGATAAATCAAATTTTAAAAAATAATTCAATAACGTATTGATCAAAGATTAATCATGAATGGAATTCTAAATTGTAACGTAAATTGCTTGTTTATGAGATTTGTTAATTTATCTCTTTTTACTTTTATATATATTATATTCATATATGATATCTCTCTCTTATCAATTGAGATATTCCTACCATCAAATATATCATATCTCTAGTATTTCCTGCAGTGGTTGTCGTATATATCAATAGAATGAAGACTAATTTCGACTTCGATTTTTAAGTTTTAACCAAGCTTTTAAACAAAAAGGAGCTTTTCTTTGTTATCTTGAAAACTTGTTATTTGAAAAAATCTACTTAGAAATAAAAACGTTAATAGAAAAGGGGTCTTTATTGTATTGATATAAACGCCGGCCATTTTACCTACTGAGATATTCCAACCTTATCAGATGTATCATATCATATCTCTATCTCTAACCTACTGAGATATTCCAACCTTATCAGATATATTATATCATATCTTTATCTCTTACCTAATGAGATATTCCAACCTTTTCAGATGTATCATATCATATCTCTATCTCTAACCTACTGAGATATTCCAACCTTATCAGATGTATCATATCATATCTCTATCTCTTACCTAATGAGATATTCCAACCTTATTAGATGTATCATATCATATCTCTATCTCTTACCTAATGAGCTATTCCAACCTTATCAGATGTATCATATCATATCTCTATCTCTTTCCTAATGAGATATTCCAACCTTATCAGATATATCGTATTATATCTCTATCTCTTACCTAATGAGATATTCCAACCTTATCAGATGTATCATATTATATCTCTATCTCTTACCTAATGAGATATTCCAACCTTATCAGATGTATCATATTATATCTCTATCTCTTACCTAATGAGATATTCCAACCTTATCAGATGTATCATATTATATCTCTATCGCTTACCTACTGAGATATTCCATCCTCATCAGATGTATCATATCATATCTCTATCTCTACCCCACTGAGATATTCCAACCTTATCAGATATATTATATCATATCTCTATCTCTTACCTAATGAGATATTCCAACCTTTTCTGATGTATCATATCATATCTCTATCTCTTAGCTACTGAGATATTCCAACCTTATCAGATATATCATATCATATCTCTATCTCTTACCTACTGAGATATTCTAACCTTATCAGATGTATCATATCATATCTCTATCTCTTACCTAATGAGGTATTCCTACCTTATTAGAAATATTTCTGACCAGACTGTTCCTATAAAGGCTTCTACAAAACGCCATGCTGGGAACATCTCTATATCCCGTAACACCGTCATTTATGATAATTTTTGTCAAAGTTTGCACATATATAATACTGTGTAATAGAAAGACGACTGTTAGTTTAGATTTATGAGTTGACATGAATAATGAACATTGAACATGCATGAAGCACTAACAAAGTGGATTATAGATAAAACTTTTTGATTTTTTTAACTCCATCCAATACACGCTAGGTTGCTTATATGTCGTCTTCCTATTCCACAGTTTTATGGGTTTCATTTCAATGAAAAAAAGGTAATTTGGCAACATACACTTGAGGCACTCTCTGGGATCAGCTATAAAGTAAAGTAAAACTTGAAAAGTACTTGGAAACAAATTTAGTGATTTCTAAAAGTTGTCTCGATCCAATATAGATTTCACCAATCCAGGGAGGGGGCTGAGACCCATTGTCCCCCCCCTTGATTACGCCCCTGGTTCTCCTTTATATCTTAGATAGAAATACCGTTTAACAATTATTGTAAGTTGTAACTGTTCCAAGTAATCTAAAATATTCAGGGAGTATTTCCAGAGATTAATTTTTCAGTATTTACAATCCCCTCGCCCCCTTCAGAGTTTCTAACGAAAGAGAAAAGAGGACAATTTTTCCAGTTTAAATTGATTATCACTTTACACAACAGTTGTTGATTTTTTAGAGCGTATATGTTAAGAATTTTCTGAACATTTTTTAAACGGATTAAATGAAAAAACATGAAAAGAAAGACTGAATGAGTGGAAAAAATGCTTGCTGTGCAGTGTTTGTCATTGTTATTTTTAAAGTTTGTAAATACAATCTAGATTATTCATCAATTGATACAGGGTTACCCACAGAGGATAAGACATTAAATACAATCTAGATTATTCATAAATTGATACAGGGTTACCCACAGAGAATAAGACATTAAATACAATCTAGATTATTCATAAATTGATACAGGGTTACCCACAGAGAATAAGACATTAAATACAATCTAGATTATTCATAAATTGATACAGGGTTACCCATAGAGGATAAGACATTAAATACAATCTAGATTATTCATCAATTGATACAGGGTTACCCACAGAGGATAAGTTAAATACAATCTAGATTATTCATCAATTGATACAGGGTTACCCACAGAGGATAAGTTAAATACAATCTAGATTATTCATCAATTGATACAGAATTACTCACAGAGAATAAGACATTAAATACAACTTTGTAGAAAAAAAATTGTAGATAATAAAAATATTTAGGATAGATACAATAAACAGCTTCGTGCAAGCACATTAATGTAATCAACAAGACTGAAAAACGTCAAAAAGTCGTTGATATTTTAAATAAACATTTTTTTATTTATTTTATATCTATTAATTTTTTAAGATATATCTTATAATTTTTTAAAAATATATTTTTGACAGTGTTCCCTGAGAAAGGCGATGGCTGGCCAGTTTGCAAGAAAATTGAACGGATCTCCTAAAAGTATATTTTTTTACTTTTTTCACTTAAATTATTCTTAAATTTCTGTGCTTTTAATACTGATATTATATTTGTGAACTGCCGACTTTTCTAAGACTATTTGTACTTTTTGCATCAGTCTATGATGTAATATATTATAACAGTACATTATATTATTCATGAATTCTATGTACAGAATTAAGTATGTTATCACCAAGTAGTACAGCTTCGGTATATGATATTGTTTATTTTTCTATGAAATACATATTCTATGTACTTAATGTACTCACCAAGCAGTACAGCTTCGGTACATGATATTGTTTATTTTTCTATGTAAATAATACATATTCTATGTACTTAATGTACTCACCAAGGAGTACAGCTTCGGTACATGATATTGTTTATTTTTCTATGTAAATAATACATATTCTGTGTACTTAATGTACTCACCAAGCAGTACAGCTTCTGTACATAATATAGTTTATTTTTCTAAATAATACAAATTCTATGTGCTTAATGTACTCACCAAGGAGTACAGCTTCGGTACATGATATTGTTTCGACTCTAGAGATATATGTTACTATCTCCGCTTCTTCTCTAGGGGAAAAAATATATTAAAAAGTTTTAAATTATAGATTATCAATGAACATTTTGAGCATCCAACTCAATTTAGCTAATGTTCAAGTATGTCACTCAAATGAAATATTTTAATCTAGAAAAATCTTTTCTAAACAAGTGTTTACAGCTTTTGCACTCCACTGAACAATAATTTTTTAACCGATTTTTGGAATTAAATGGACTTTTCTTGAGATCTAAAGGTTTAGAACTAATAATTCTTTCATTCAACAATGATTTTTACAAATAGCGCGACATTTTATTATTTATTGATGATTTTATACCAAGAGAGGAATTTGAATTAAAAACGTAGTTTACTTGTTTTTTATTAAAATGCTTTACCGTTTAAACCGGTGGTCGTACGTACCCTGGAAAGTCGAAAAAAAATAACTTTTGATGCCAAGGTTTTAAAAAAGTGTTATCTTTTAAATATTCAGATAAATCTAGATATAAGATATTTTGAACAAATTCGATTATAAGAATCCAAGTTTTCCTTTCTGTAATTGTATTTAGCTAAACATATGTATGTGTTAATCTTATGCACATAAAATTTTGAACATTTTTGACAAATACAAAATCAAATTTGAGAAATAAACTATGGTTTCCACTGAAAGAAAATTTTGTCGCGCAAACCGCAAGCAAATTAGCACAAGTTTTTCGGTAAAGCGTCGTTTAAACTTTTAAGCATAAAAAATCCACTAAATTGATCTTAAAAACTTGCAGCTTTCAGAAGGAACACTGTAGAAAATATTTTTGGACGTTCTGGCACAATTTTTAGTGGTGGTCAAAAAGTGAACACTGCCTTTAAATTAGAAAATTTACCTTATTATCCCTGTATCACTGACAGCCAACCCATTCAGTAAATTCATCAGAACAACAACAATCAGGAAAATAAAACTAAAAAAAGAAAATATATATAATTGAATAAATTGATGTTTAATTTTTTTTTACCAAATGAGAAAGATGTATCCGAGTATTCCAACCTTGGTCGTCAAATCTATTAAATACATACTTTATGAATATGATTGATCTACATAATTTATTAAAGCTCTTCGCTCATTTGTAAGAATTCGCTATAGCTGGCCAAACAGTGAACTTTTTTGGGGAACCCAGGGGTGACGTAGGCTAAAAAAATAAGAAATTGCTAAAATCATGATTTGAGACCAAGCACGGGTAAACGGCAGGAGTAAATGAGTAACGTGGACAACGCTGGGAAATTAAGCTAGTCTATCTTTCAGCTTTCTATATAATGAAACAAGACATTCATTTTTGTTGCGTATAGCCGAATAAACGGCTGGACCGATTGGGCTGAAATTTTTTGTGGACACTAATGGTTGGCCGGGGGGTGTTATAGGCTAAAAAAAATCGGACATTTTATTTTCTCAAAATATTTTATTTTTAATTATATTTTCCACGGGCAACGCCGGGCCCTTCAGCTAGTGTTTATTAAAATAAAAGCTACAAATAATATATTTTCTAAATTTTTAAAAATGTTTATTGATGAACAACCGGTCCATGAAAAATACACCAGGAAATCCCTTATCCTTGCATTAAAATAGAGTGTTGACTATTCAGTTTCATTGTTTGTTTGTGTTCTAGTGACGGTAACCTAGAGGTCCTGGTTAACAGCTATTAAAGTCAATAATAAGCAATTATGGAAGTCACTCTCTCCGATTTCTGAGAAAATTTGCACAACTGTAAACATTTAAGAGAAAATTAAATTTCCGGAATCCTGAGGTTTCTGTGACCTATTGTTTGTGCAGAGTTGTGAGGCTCTAAAGTTACAGCCTCCAGACTGACCTTCAAAGCTGTGTAACTTTTTCATTTTAAAGATTTCGTTAAAAATAGGAAAACAAACTTTGACCTCGGTTTGAAAAAAGATAGTACTTTGATTTTCGTAATTATTTGTGTGACGGTTCATTAAATAGTCAGTTATGATAATCAAAAGGGTTTACTTTGTGTATTTTTGTTGATGTGAAGTAAGAGCACCTTGTGTTGGAGCAAAAGAGCACCTTGTGTTGGAGTAAACAATAAACAAACCTGTGGAGTGTGGAATCTATCAAGGTTTCGAGAAGTGTTTTTCAATGATAAATACCTGTTTCATAAAACTGAGTTAGCTGAGCATTCATGAAAGAATAAACTTTTAGCAGAAAAACTGTTCATTCTAATCCGGATTTAATTCTGCAAACCAACCTGGAGAATGTCAGGTGATATTCAACCAGAAGAATTTCAGTTTTATCTAATAAACCCAATCAGGAGAATATTAGGTTAGGTTATTCAAACCAAACCGAAGAATATCAGGTCTACTTAAACAATCCAGTTCAGAGACTATCTGGTTCGTTTAACTGAACCCAGAAGTATTGGGTTCGTTTATTTAACTGAACCCAGAAGTATTGGGTTCGTTTATTTAACTGAACCCGGAAGTATTGGGTTCGTTTATTTAACTGAACCCGGAAGTATTGGGTTCGTTTATTTAACTGAACCCAGAAGTATTGGATTCGTTTATTTAACTGAACCCGGAAGTATTGGGTTCGTTTATTTAACTGAACCCAGAAGTATTGGGTTCGTTTATTTAACTGAACCCGGAAGTATTGGGTTCGTTTATATAACTGAACCCGGAAGTATTGGGTTCGTTTATTTAACTGAACCCGGAAGTATTGGGTTCGTTTATTTAACTGAACCCGGAAGTATTGGGTTCGGTTATTTAACTCCACCCGGAAAATCAGGTCCTGTTATTTAACTGCAAACCCGTATAATTTTAGATTTATTTATTCAACTCAACCCAGAGACATCAAAATACTTCCTTTTTTCAACTGAGGTCAAAATTTTATTTTTTTATTTTAACAGAGAAATATCGATATTGTTACAAAGTAGCATTTATAACTATTTCTAGATCTAGTCATTCTTAAAAAATTGCAGTTGAAATTTTGTCGATATCATTAAAAACAAAAAAGTTGCACAGCCTTGAAGTTTCTGAGGTCAGTCTGGAGGCTGAAACATTTAGAGGCTCACAAACCAGAGGTCACAGAGAACTTTAGTTTTTCATTTCCTTGTTCGTTCATCCGAATCTGAGATGGTGGCTTCCAAGGGGTGAGAGAGTTGAAAAAGAATGACCCCCTTCTTAACTTAAAACTCCATTTTCATTCATTAAATGTAAGTTTTTTATATTTTTTATTTTATATTTTTTGTTGGGCTATGTATTTTATTACTAGCTTGAGAACCCAGCGTTGCCCCGGGTATTCGTAGTTACTTCCGCCGCTTACCCGCGTTTGGTCGTAAATTACGATTTAAGCTATTTTTCCCTATAAAATTAGACCCATTCAATTTAGAATCTTAAAACAAAATTAAGAACATTCCTGGGGTTCTCCCAAGTTCCCCAATTAAAATTTGAGACAAATCGGTCAAAGGGTTTCTGAGAAGTGATCGAACATACAAACAAACAGACAAGATCTTTAAATGAGAGATCAAAATAGGACTACAGTCTATAGACAGAATGCACTTTAATGTAGTTAGCTTTACGTGTAGTGTACATAAGATTTTGATCTGCAATGGTTAGGATTCATGAATTCAGATTACTAAAAAATATGCGGATTTAAGGATCCAAGAACCATCTTCAATAACATGGTTCAACCGCGAAGACGTGGTTTAAGTTTTAGCCACTGCTTTTCAGCTTGAGAAGTTGTTGTACTACATCTGCGAGGCTCATCAATAAAATAATGGTTCTCCAAACACAATTATACAGTAAAAATGCTTGAAAAACTGCCTTGAAAATGAAACAAAAATGGGGAAAGTAAAAAAATTTAGGTTTAACTGAAAAACTTTTTACAAAAACTTTGTGAGTTGGATCCTTTTTAAATAGGATGGATCCATGGATCCGTATAAAAATTAAATATTTTTAAATATTAAAATATACAAGTATGTTTCCTATTGGTATATTGGAGAACTCAATCTCCCCTATAAACATAGTTCCTGTTTTAACCAGAGACAGCCAGGGGTCTTCGAAAAACTTGTACTCATCCTCTCCCTCTTTAGGGGTATACCCAGGCACGTCTCTGCAAGGGGTGTAAACAGTTTTTGAAAGGCGGAGGGAATTTTTGATGTTTTAATGATTTTGTGCTAAATGTTAAGGATTTATCTACTACATTACTGCGCTTTACATAATTCGAATCTTTAGTAAGAAGTTTAAAGTTTAAATATGTTTTCCTTTCTTTCTCTAATCAAATATTTTCCGACCAATAAACTGTCCCTGAGACCTTATTTAATGAATTTGATCTAGGTCACTGAACTACTCATTATACGCCGGTTCAAATCTTGAAACACCAATTCGAAATTAAAGATTCACGAGGATTTGAATCGATGATTCAGGATTTGAACCGGCTGTAGGTAGTTTAACTTCCTCCCCCAATCATTAAAGTGTGTCTCCGGACTCTTAAATACTATTTAACCTCCCTGTGTAGCATAATGTAGAAGCCGAGACCAAATGCAATGATAAAGAAAGAATACCAGGTCAGGAACAGTATAAAGCTTTTCAACACCTAGAATTGTGTGGGATTGAACACGTACGTATCATCTAAAAATCTAACAATCTAAAAATCTAAAAATCTAAAAATCTAAAAATCTAAAAATCTAACAATCTAAAAATCTAAAAATCAAAATATCTAACAATTTAAAAATCTATAATTTCAATTTCAGATTTCTCTACTTTAGTGACTTGCAGAGCAGATTTTATGCAGTAAAGGCTAAAAACGTAATTGATATAATTAAAAATCAATTCAATATGAAAACGACGATATCTCCCCATCTACTCTATCTTTTGAACGGTACCTGCCACTGATAAAATTACGGAAACAGCCCATTTAAAATACATATTTGGTTTGTCTATTTCTTTGTCTTGGTGTCTTTCTCTTTGAATACAATAAACGTCAAAACGGCTGAACCAATTAGACCAAATTTCTATGCGTGAACTACCATGACCTCATGTCGAAGATGAAAAATGTTGCCGAGTTTAATAGAAATGAATAAGTAAATCATATTTTCCCCATAAATTTATGATCCAGTGTTTTTACTTCCATAGCTTGCCGCTTCAGTTTATGATACGTGATTACTACTTCTAGAATATGTAATGAAGACCTTGATTTGCGGCAAGACTATCGTTAAAAGGTTTACATTGAATGGTTCTGCCTGGTCGAAAAATAATCCTCTTCTGACAAAATCCCTGAGTACCCCCCCCCCCCTTATTTAATTTTTGCGTAACAGCCCCTGCTCCCTGCTCCCTCTGATGTCCCTGTAAGATGAAAGTCCATTAAAATATTTCCCTTGGGAATTATACACTCTAAAATATTGGAACATTTTTGGCACATTCATCTAAGAAAAAATATTCTAGTGAGTAGTTTACAAGTATCTTATTAGTCTCTGAAGAAAGGAAAAGAAAACTTGAAGGATTTATTTACAACGGAATTGAATCTTTGCCAAATTTTTTAATCCATATCTTTAAAACCCAATGCTTCAAGCTATGAATTCTGATGGATCAAACATTCTAAGTTTGAAATATCAAAGGTTTACATTATCTAGTTGTAGAGATATAGGTATCAGAAAGATTCAATTTCTTTAAACTATCAAACCTTGTTTCACTCTTGCGCGCACTTGCGTGTAACAAACGTAAAGTTTCTTCTAGTTTTATAAATCATTAGTATGGGAATCCAGCTTTGCCTGTAAACTGAATTGTCTCCATAAAACTCACTCACTCAAAATTATTAAACCAAGAACGTTCCCATTCTACCAAATTTTCCAATCAAAATTTGAGGCAAATCGGTCAAGAGTTTAAGAGTTATTATCAGATAAACAAACCAACAGTGGGGTTTCTTTTATGCAAGGACTGATTTGATACCAATGCAAATTTTGAGCATTTATTTAACTATTTAATCCTGTATTAGATTAATCTTTTAAATCTAATATATTTGATATATATTTAATATATATTTAATATATATCTAAAAAAACCCAAATTGAAAATTACTAATACAAATATCACAAAGTTATCTGTAAAAAATTTACAAAGGAATTGAGTCTTTGCCACAAACTCTGATTTTCCAAATCTTATATCTTTACAATCCAATATCGTAGACCTTAGATATTTCAAACTGTAAATTATGTTAGACCAAATAATCAAAATTTGAAATTCCAAAAGTTTACACCAACAGGTTGCAGAGATATATGTATTAGAACATTTGAGTTTGTGGCAAAGACTCAATTCCTTTGTATTAATCCAATCTTACCTTGTAGAACATGGTCACGTAGATGTTGTATCTAAAAATATAATTTCAATTATAGATAATGATAAAATTTTATTGGAACCCCAGGTTTAATTTTTATCCTTAGTTCCATTTGAATATTTTTATTTTTTCATGTTTATTAATGTAAATTTAGAATCTAGCAATTTAAATACAGGGTGTCTCTCCAAACAGGACTATTTTGAGGACGATTTAAATAGTGTTTTTGATCTTTAGTTGGTTGAAAGTCGACCCGGTACTTGAAATAAAGCTTGTTCTAACTGGTTGAAAGTCGACCAGGTACTTGAAATAAAGCGGTGTTTACAGTGATCCCATTATGGTTATTAGTTACCTTATCGAGGTCGTAAATCATACATTTTGTTGTGCATTGTAAAGAAATAGTTATTAAAGACCTCCATCGTCTCTTATATGTTATGTTTACTGAGACACCTTGTATCTCAACTATCTGAGAATTGTTGAGATATTAGGATAATGTTGAGATATTAGGATAATGTTGAGATGTTAGGATAATGTTGAGATATTAGGATAATGTTGAGATATTAGGATAATGTTGAGATATTAGGATAATGAGGATAATGTTGAGATATTAGGATAATGTTGAGATATTAGGATAATGTTGAGATATTAGGATAATGTTGAGATATTAGGATAATGTTGAGATATTAGGATAATGTTGGGGTTTATTATTATTTAACGAAGAATTCTAATTTCACCAGAGTCAACAACTTTAGGCAGAATATCGGTTATGAAAGCCCAGTATCCGAAACTGGGTTTTCTCGAATGGACCCCAAAAAGGGAACACTGGATACTCTTTTAAATTTCTGGCTGTTAGAGTACAGTTTAATTTTGCTAAACAGATTTCATGTTTTTGATCAAACTCCCTTTACTAGGGAGCTATTGGTAAGAAAAACGTTTAGAAATTTGAAAATGGACTACAGTAAGTTTGAATTTCTCAATCAAAGGTGTTTTGATGTCTCAAAGGCGAAATTCTGCGTTAATTAGACAAAGAAACAAAGAAATGTAGCAATATTTTTTTTTAATGTATGCTGAAAGCTAAAAAAAATCACTAAAAAATTGTCTGGCATTATTTCGGTTAGGAAGTATTTTTGATTCCATGCTAAATTCGTAGATGCAGACATGATCCACAATTTAAAATTTGGTTCCTATGACATTGCCCAAATAAATGAACAGTCCTATTAAAAGCTCACCTCGATAGTTTAGGATGTCTTCCAACTAGAGTAATCAGGGTAGCCCAAGCTAAAATACAAAAAAATCTTAATTTGAAATTTTTTAAATTACTTTAATGATAAACTTTAAAATTGTTTTTCTTCTTATTATTTTCTAGCATTCCAGGAAAGTTTATAAATAGATTTTGATGAGAAAAACGTGTGGACTGAATACTAAGTTTATGTGAGGCAAAGCTAAGAAACTAGAAATCAAACTAGGAAACAAAATTAGGAAGAAAAAGCTAAAAAAAATACAAAACTAAATTAATAAACAAAGTTAAGAAACAAAGCCAACATATTAGGAAACACTAGGACACACAATTAGGAAACAGCACTAGCTAAACTAAATTATTGGCAGCAAGATAAAGCACTAAGAAACCAACAAGCAAACAAAATTAGGAAACAAGACTTAAAAGAAAAACATCAGAGAAGCGCTTTATATCACTGACTACTAAGATCAACTTACTGTCATTTCGTTAAGAGGAGGCCGACTTATAAAACTAACGAATATTTTAATTTGATAGAAACTTCAAGCAAATAAGAAAAGTAAATTAGAGTGTGATATTTTATCCTTTCTCTTCTTTAGCAGGTTAAGTGAGGGGAGAAACGTTTATGATTTTAATTAACTGTTAACTATTTTTTAGGGACAGATTGTAGGAACACTCACCTATGACTAGAGCAAACCCCGCTAGATGTCTCTTAAGAAGGCAGCCGTTGTACAAATAGTGTTCCGGTACATAGAGACAGATACACACTAAACATACAGTACATATATAGACACAGAAACGCGTACTTTACATATGGTACATATGACAGAGATACATACTAAACATACAGTACATAGACATAGAAACATGCTTTACATGTAGTAGATGACAGAGATACATACTGAACAAAGAGACATATATCACACTAAACATACGGTACATAGAGACAGATAAACACTAAACATACGGTACAAGACAAATACACACTAAAAAAACGGCACATAGACACAGATGCATACTGAACTTACGGTACATATAGACAAAAACACACTAAACATACGGTACGAAACATATACACACTTAAAAAGTTAAATAGACACAAATTTATACTAAACATACGGTACATAGAGACAGATACACACTAAATATACGGTACTTAGACACAGATACATATGTACGGTATATAGAGACAGATACATAGTAAACATACGGTACATAGAGACAAATACACACTAAATGTACGGTACTTAGACACAGATACATACGTACGGTATATAGACACAGATACATACTAAACATACGGTACATAGAGACAGATACACACTAAATATACGGTACTTAGACACAGATACATACGAAACATACGGTACATAGAGACAGAAACACACTGAACATACGGTACATAGAGACAGATACTATGTATTCAAAACACAAAACTCAAGACTTAAATTTTTAATAAATTTTTGCCATTTATTTTTTTTGGCAGCTAAGCATTAAAAGTATCTTTAATTTTATTTTATGATATTGTTATAATAAACTTATGCAAAGAAAATATTTAGGAATGGAGACAAATTTGCTAACATCTTTATCTTTGCAACCTGATAGTGTAAAACCTATGATATTTCAATATTAGATTTTTGATCCAATAGAATTTATAGTTTAAAAAATATCTAAGGTCTATTAGTTTGGGGTCCAAAGATATAGGGATAAGAAAATCAGAGTGTTTGACAAAAACTCAATTCATTTATAAATTCTAATTTTCTAGTTCTAGTTTAAAAAAGATTTATACCTAGTGCAAGCATGACAAGCTCAAACAAGTTTTCTATGTCAAATATATATCTTTTCAGGGATACCATCATTTGTAGAACCTCCCTATAATTATCACTATTATTATCATTATTATTATTTTTATTATTATTCTTGTTATTATTACTATTATTATTATTTTGTTATTATTATTATTATTATTATTATTATTATTATTATTATTATTATTATTATTATTATTACCTAAGTGCTACCATGAGTATAAGTATTGTGAGTATGTAGACTAATGCTTGTGTACTAAGTATTATAAGAACTACTATAGATGACAGGATAAAATATTCAATCCAACTTGTAAACAAAACCTAGATAATTAGATAATTAAAGGGATTGTCTAAACTTAAAATAATAAACTAAAATATAAAACCATGATAAGCTTGTTTGAAGCAAGTTTTTTAACAAATAATGAGACCTTTACTATCAATGGATGCAGTACATCCTAAAAATACAATTTTGATCAAAAATATGGATTATGGATATTAGTATTTTATTTGAACGCATAGACGATCCCTTGGGAAAAATATAAAATGCGTGGGATTGGTCGCACTGTATCTCTTTATTCATGAGATAAAATATATCTTGATTATAACAATATATATCTCTGCATTTCAATAACGTTTTTTATGAGATAAAGATATGTCTCGAGTTTACCAATTTATCTCTGCATTTTCACAAACTTTATTTAAAAAGATCAAATATGTCTCTTTTTACAACAAAACTTATTTGTATTTTAGAGAACTTTGGCTAACTATTTGATTTTAAATTTACAGTTACAGTGGATTAGTACTCTAAAAATATAATTAATACCCCTTTTACTTTAAGTTTCATTTTAAAATCTCTAAATTGTGCAAAAAGACCGTAATATTCTTCATTTATTCGTCATGAAGCAAACCGGATATGCATCTTAAATCTGATTGGATGAAAGTATTAAATTAAGAATAATATTCAAGACCTGAAAAGCAGTTTTAAGATCAGATTGCCTGAGATCTCTGTACCAATCCCGCAGTATCATAAATATCTAAACAGAAATATTATTGAAAAAACCTCAAAAACATTTTTTGGGGGCAATTTTTTTGGGGTATCATAAAAATCTTCTTTTTTTTTTAATTGAAATGCTGCAAGCCTGCAGTCAATACTTGAAATTTACAGAATCCTTTTTTGAGTAGCCCAACAGGCAAAAACATATTTTTTAAAAACAATTTTTTATTTTTTTTATTAAATTTTGGAGTATCAAAATAACTTTAAAAACACAAATTTGAAACACTGCAAGCCTGCTGTCCAATTAAAAAAATAAAGACTCCTTTTTTGAGAAGCCCTGTATTTAGAAATGTGTTCACCTGAATAATTGATTGCAAAATGAAGACGACATACCAAAATCCGCGGCTCTCCGTTGGCTCCAGGTTCACTTAACAACAATAACGCATACAACTTTACATAAACAACCGTTTCTAATCTGTTCTTTAGTTTTTTCCTTTTTTATGTGTTTTTAAGCAGTACCTGAGCAGAGTGAACGCTGTTCCTTCTCTTCTACGGTACTTTCAGTAGATTCCGGGGAAGAACTATTAGTATCTAAACATTTAGAGGAAAAATGAATAAAAATGAAAATTCTAGAAATGATTTTACTGAGAGACGTCTTAGGAAAACAAAAAGAAAGTTTTTTTGTCAACAATATCTAAGATTATAAAAAATACTCGGTATCGCAGTAAGGCTTGGACTGAATTCAAAATTACTGTTTCTTAAATATTGTTTGTTTACATCAAATCAGTTCTTGAGATGTCAGTAGAGTATGAAAAAAGTCTATTTTCATCCCCTTAGTTTGACGATGTATAACCCCTCTTGTTGTAAACAACCCTATTCTTAATATTTATTTGTTTCTATAGCTACAGTTTTAAATGAATTTTTTTTTGTGCAAAATCCTGATTAGTTTTTGTAAAGTTTAATACATAATTTAGTTCACAGTCATCCTTAGCTTCTACTAGGTACTAGGTTCTGTTATTATAAGGAAAATATCGCCGTTTTTAAAAATGTTACAGCTTTGTAGTTCTTTTTTCCTTTCAGAAATCTACGGATCACTATCGTTGAGAAATCACAATTAAAAATAAAAATATATCTGCCATCCCTAACTCGGGCATGCTGATCAATATACTTGAAATTGCGTTTACAGTCTCTTTAAAACATCTAGCTACGCTTGTCTAACCTGTTTTAGAATTCACCCTGTAGGAAACTCCACCGTAAGCCTGGACAAACTTTTTTTTTAAACAAAAATTCAAATAAAGACACGACCAATTATACATTTAAAGGGACTATGTGCTTAATTTTAACTGACCTTACAATTACATGGAACCATGACAATACCCGTTTCATAACTTTATACAAATGACTTGCGTATTTCTACTGCAGGAAAACATTGAGCAATTATCGGAATTAAACACTTAAAGCTTATAAAAACGAATATATCTTCCACATTATTGAACAGATAAAGAATTCAAGAGTAATGTTGTGAATCGGAAATTGCCATCTTTGCATGGAGGGTCACATGAAATTACGCTTGCTACAGTCCCTTCAAGAAGTAAAAGAAACTGATGATTCTCGACAAACTTTTAAACTCTTATTCTCATAAAATTCTGATTTAATAGTCAAAGTTTTATCCATCAAAGGTTTACTCCATGAAGTTTTAAAGATAAAGAAATAAGAAAACGTCTGGAAAAATATTTCTTTGTAATCTTCACATTTTATCATGTTTTTCTTTTATCGAATGGATGTAAAATAGAAAAAAAACAAGGTTACATTATTTGTTTTAAGATTGTGCAGCTGGTTCTCTGAAGTCTGCACAGTGCATACAAAGTTTAAGAGTGGAAAAAACCAGTTTTTACAAATCTGCACTTAACTAATGATGCTCAAATTTTTTAATCCCAATATCTTTGAAACCAAATAGTGTAATAGGGTTGTTAATCGTTTTTAAAAAACGATTGAAAAAACGATCGAACCAACCGTTTTGAACTTTTAAAAAACAAAAAACAAAACAGTGATGCAATCGTTTTTTTAAATGATCGTTTTGATAAAAATTTTGCTCATGAATCTGTTTTATGACAATTAATTTCAGTTTTTATTTAGGAAGATAAGTTTATGAAAGTTGTCTTAAATCTTTTTTTTATCGATAGTAATTACCTGATCTAAAGATTTTACAACGATCGTTAACGAAAGGTCAACGTTAACGGTGGTTCACGAAGGGTCGTTTTTAACGATCGTTAATGATCGTCAAAAATGAATAACAACTTTCCTTCGTTAAAAAACGACTTCTTCGTTTCATATTTATAAAAACGATCTTTTTCAAAAAAGATATTTATAAAAACGACCATTTCGCTTTCCGTTTTTTCTTCGTCGTTTTTAAAACAAAACAACCGTGTTTGAAAAAAGTAAAAACTATCCATCTCTAGGTGTAAACCCTTATTATTTCAAGCTTTGGCTAGAAGATCTAACGGAATTTATAGTTTAAAAAATCAAAAGTCTACGACGGGTTGCAGAGATAAAGGGATTTGAAAATCAGAGGTATTGTGGCAAGGACTCTGTACATTTCAAATTGCTAATACTAAATATAAAATAGTTTTATGCAAATGTGCATAGAGAACCAGACTGAAAGAAAATATCAAGGATATTTTTGGATCAGAAATTAGATAAAGTTGTTTTGATCTATAAAAATATACAAATATAAAAATATAAAAATATAACTTCTAGAAATATAAAAATATAACTTCTAGAAATATAAAAATGTTTTCCTCAAAGATAAACCAGGATAAGCAGGTGACAAAGAGAAGATAAACCCTCAGTCCTCGGTTGAAATATTTTCTGAAAATTTAACATTTTAAATATAATTTTAAATACAAAATATAAAAAAGAAAACAAAAGAAAACAATATAAAATGATTAAATAATAAGGTTATAAGTTTAATAAATGTTGGCGCAGTGGAAATCGTAAAGTTCTTTTTTTAACCCATTTAACGAACAAATTGACAAAAGCAATGTTATCAAGTAAAAAAATTATATTTAAAATTTGATTTAATTGATAAAGTTAAAATTTCCGATAAAAAAGTATGACGGGAAATTCCGTTCACTAAGAAGATATTCAGGGAATTTTCCGGTAATTTTCAATATTTTCCGTTCGGAACGAACTTTACCCAGAATTGAGAATTTTTCAGTGAATCTAGGGATCGAATGTACATAGATCTTTATCATTAGGCAAACCTACAGATTAATCTAATTCCTCTTTGCTATCCTTTATCCCCTCAGGGATAAAATTAAATCAGATTCATACTCAAATTTAAAAGTGCCCCGATTAGATATCGATATCAAGCGTTCAGTATTAACCATAACAGATGAAAAAATACAATTTCTTTAACCTTATCCGTTGCCATTTCATCCATAGAAAGCTTGTAATAACAGGATGCTTGAGCAGGTGTCGATGGTACTGACTATCCGCCATATACCATAGACTCTCGGTCTCAGGCAGGGCTATCAAATAGAAACAAGATATAATAAACTATGATTTTAGAAATTTAGAGAAATCCTCGAACTTATTTATAAAGAATAACATAAAAAAAGATACTATAAAGAAAAGGTTTGTCAACTTCTATAAGATTTAAACAATAATTTCTTTTCAGGAGTATGTTCATAAGCATATATTTCTTTATAGCAGAATATTCATAGTTCATAGTTTCATATGTTTTAATTTCTAATTCTTTATCTATTCAATTATTTCTGTGTGAAAACGGGTTTGGTAAATTGTTATTTTCTCTGCCTCGGCGAGCTTTATTAAACAAGCAGTGCAGTACAGTGCAGTACAGTAATATGCAATACAATTCAGTTCATTAAAGTGCAGTACAATGAAATGTTAAAATTCAGGGAATATGAATAAAGGGAAAGGAAATGGCGCTGGTCTGGCATGAGAAAGCCAGTTGCACTGCTTTGCAGACAAGTTCGGTAAACCTTACACACACTCTTTTGGTACAGACACACAACATGACTACAGTCAAGGAAATTGCAGAACAATGTCGTCAATTATAATTAAACTTGAATAACGAGTTATAGTTTATTGTAAACTTTAATCAAATTATATTCTTTGCATGAAAATTTAGCTTTATAGCCTACAGTACACACTTTGGTTCGGTAAACTTTACACACACTCTTTGGTACGGAAACACACACATGACGTTTCCGTCCCCTGTAAAAAATTTTCCCGCATTTTCATATCTACTGTGAGAACCAGTAAATGTGGAATAGAAAGACGTCATTAAAGTAATTTTACAGTGTATTTCATGTTCTTACAAAGGAAACAGTTTTACTAGTAGCTAAAAAACCTGTATTCAGTAACATGAGCTATTGCACTGCACTATATTGCTGTGTTTCATGTTAATTGTACTAAATTTACAATATAACTTCAGTTTAGAAGCCCTATTCCTATTCCATAGTTTTCACTATATAGGATGGATGTGTTTCCTTAAATAAAAGATTATATATATATTGATTAAATAAATAAACCCTCTCTGTAATCCTGTAACCCTCTCACCTCTATTCTCCACCATCTCCCTTCCTTCAGGATCATGTTCATCGAAGTTAGGACTATCCACAGGTGGAGCCAGGAACGAATATCGAAACTTCAACTCGAAGTCCTCGTGCTGAACATCGTTCGTCGAGGTGAGACAGAACTCGTCAAGGAACGATTCCATCGTTTCCGGGAGAATTTTTGAGATGGGTGTTTCACTCCATCGGTTCTTAACTCCGATATTAGCTCCGCGTTCAAGAAGTTTTCGAACAGTTTCCTATCACAAACAAAATTTATGTTTAAAATGAAAACAAAGACCAAAGGCGAATTTTTGTTTTTTAAATTCATAATAGGACTGAGTCGGGTTCTTTCACCCTTGACAGTGTATAAACAATTGGCTATATGGGTGCCATGGCGTACCAACTTTTCAGAATTAAAAGAATTAAAAGAATTAAAAGAATTAAAAGAATTAAAGAATTAAAAGAATTAAAAGAATTAAAAGAATTAAAAGAATTAAAAGAATTAAAAGAATTAAAAGAATTTAAAGAATTTAAAGAATTTAAAGAATTAAAAGAATTAAAAGAATTAAAAGAAGAATTAAAAGGCACGATTTACAGAAGTACCCTTTAAACATTTTTGTTCAATAATGTGGAGAAACCCGGTGGGTTTTCTAGCTTGACACATGTTTGATTCTGGCAATTTTCTCCGTTACTTTTGAAGTAGAAAGGCGCAAGACATATTATAAAAATCACAATTCAGAGAGAAGAACTGGATGTCTCATTCAAGGAAAACCGTAATGGAGAGTCACTAGAAATTACGCCTGTAATCCGTTTAAAGTGATAAACCATGTGACCCTATTTGTATTTGCTCTGAATATCGAGCTAAGTCTTCCTTGGTTATATAATAATAGGACTTTAAACATTTTCCCACTAGTACCTGGGTCCATAGTTGGGTAGCGTAGTGTAGAGCTGTATTCCCTTGACGGTCAGACCAGTTCATTATACGGTTCAATTCATCCACCACGCTTCTGTCCTTACACTCCAGTAGGAGATTTAAACACCCGGGGTAGTCACCTCCCTGAATCCGGGGACCTCTGCTGTAATAATAATATGAATGAAGATGATGATGATGATGATGATGATGATGATGATGATGATGATGATGATGATGATGATGATGATCATGATGATAATCATAATAATGATGATGATGATGATGATGATGATGATGATGATGATGATGATGATGATGATGATGATGATGATGATGATGATTATGAATTATTTTTGTGAATATAATCTGTTATTATTAAATTTTCTCAGGAAATTCTTGAATACCGTTCTTGATAGCTGTGAACCCTTAACAACTTAAAAAACCTTGAAAATATCACGATATTTTCTACGTCGTATTTTTAACATTTCTAGGTAAAATTAATTAGTCTAATTTACCGTGTAAATATATACGCATTTAAATCTTTTTACGTTTTCATATTTTTTTTGCATTTCCGCTGAACTTTAGAATTGAGAGAATATATGACCATTACATTTTTTAAAAATCTTTAGATACATTCAATGTTTTTTTGTGTTTGTCTACATGTACGTGTAAATATACAGTGTGTCCATATTAAAAAAGGGAATTTAGTGAAGACTTTAATATCGTCTTTGTTCCGTGCGGTATTAAAGTATTTTAGTAGTTAAATCAATCGACATCTGAAATTGCTGGTCTCAAGAATTCCCAAATATTGTCTGCCATTTTGGACCTTCAAAATTGACGGAGTTATCGAGAAATGTGACAAGGTTCTCATATTCCTCTTATAGCCGGCCGATAACAAACGTTATAAATAACGTGGCCAGATTTTCAAAAAATATTCTTATCTTTAAGGATTGGACATTTAAAAAAAACATTTTTAAAAGGACGAGGATTTCGAGGTGGCTCGAACGAGAAAATAAGAAGAATGTGGCACAGACTAGGAATTGTTGGTGTTGGCCTTCCTTCCCTCGCTACAGGGTGTCCCAATAAACATAAGAATCGAGAGACGACTTGAAAATTGTCTTTGATAAATATATTTGATATTTGATAAAACCAGCAATAAGCAAATAAATTTCAATAAATTTGGTCCCAGCCCTATTTTTCTACCTGGGCTTACTGAGTACATAATGGAGAACTGTCTCCTTTGTTTTCTCTTGAACTGTCAGGTTCACGACCTGTCCTCCTTCAAGGGAATCAATCTAAACATATTTAGATTTGAACGAAAGATGTGTTTTCTGTTAGGGTTTCTTTCAAGTTCCAGATGTTATGTTATGTTATGGTATGAATAATGAGAAATCTAATGGTGAACACCTTTGATATTATAAACTAAGACTTTTTTGTCTAACAGAATTCATAGTTTGAAATATTAATGGTCTACGAAATCATTTCCTTTTTTTGGTTCCACACTATTCTTGAAAACAATTTAACTTTTCTGGATATGTCTTCTATAAGAGCAGTTATGATTGAAAACATGTCGTATTCCAATATAACCTAAATGGAATTTCCCAGACAACACTATATTTTTGAAACCCGATGTCGTCGACCTTTGATATTTACGAATTACGAATTCTGTTAGATCAAATAATCTTAAGTTTGATTTCTATGAAAATTTAACTCCATTAGGTTGCAAAGATATAGAGGTTATACATTTGATTTCGTGGCAATGAATAAATTCCTTTACTTTAATTTGACCTTTAAATTAAGAATGCATTTTTTCAGGAGGTGGAAACATCATGTGGGTGTGTCTGTACCAAAAGAGTGTGTGTAAGTAATACCGAACCGAAGGTGTGTACTGTAGGTATATACAGTGCATAAGAATCTTGGTATTTGTACAGTCTAGGAGGGTACATTTGTTTATTGTTAATTGTTTACTTAAAAATAAGTTTAATATATTTATATATTTAAGTCAACATTATATGTCAAATTTGAATGCAAAGAATATAATTTGATTAAAGTTTACAATAAACTACTCGTTATTCAAGTTTAATTATATTTGACGACACTGTTCTGCAATTCCCTTGACTGTAGTCATGTTGTGTGTCTACCAAAAGAGTGTGTGTAAGGAATACCGAACTCGTTTGCAAAGCAGTACGACTGGCTTTCTCATGCCAGACCAGCGCCATTTCCTTTCCCTTTATTCCCTGATTTTTAAATTATTATTTGACCTTATGTTGTAGAAGAACCTGGAGTACCCCTTGATGGCCTCCATATGCAGCAAGCAGAACAGGTCTAAATAATGTTTAACATTGTGTGGATTTTGTCAATTATTGTTTATTTCTTAAAGAACGATGTTATTGGATTGTTAATTCTATTTTAATTTTATCAGTTTTTTTTCCCGAGTCCGTTAAAGTTCCCTAACTTAAATTGTTATTTGATTAAAAACTTTCTGAAAAAGAGCTGTTTTTATTTGTTGACTTTTATTCACGATATACTATTCTATATTTTTAAACTTTTAGAAAAAACCCTGAATTAGTCTGTTCATTTCTCATTTTTACACAAAACCATAGAAATTGTAAATTGTACTTATCTTCCGCTAGTAAATGTTTAAATTAGTCGTAAATAGTTTTGTTATTTAAAACGACAAATGATTTTTAACGGCATTTGTCCAGAAACAACATGTTGCTAAGGTTTTTTTTTAACTTTTAAATATTTATGGAAATTATTAGAATAAGATTAATTTTGCCACTACTATTTACATTGAAAATAAATATATATTGCAATTTTATCATTATTCTTTAAGATTCTTAATTTTGCCGTCAAGTAGAATTTGAGTCGTGACTCGTGCTCCTTGAGACATGAGACCTTGCTCTCTTCACTTGATTACTTCTCACTGAGATTTAGAGAACTGTGAAAGTTAGTCATCAAATTTTTAGACATCCTCAACAACACCTTGGCCTTAGGGGTTTCCTCTCCAACTCACTTTTATTTTATTGTAGCCCGAGACATATACATTCTATAAATGCAAAGCGCAAGATTTAGGATACCACCCATCTATCAATCTATCCATCCTTCTATCTATCTAGTTTTTATTATCCACTTACTTAGTAGAGTTGGTTTCCATGGTTTGGTTTGGATGAGCTCCGTTCTCCAGGAGAATATGGACAAATTCAGAAAATCCGTACTCACAGCTCTAAACAAATTATTCCCGGATCAATTCCGTAATGTAAATGTCTTGTCGGAACCTTTCCAGAAGCTGGTTTAGAAATTAAGGGGGGAAGATTTCTAAAGAAAACTAGGACATCTAACCCAATAAGCTCTATCTTTATACAGATGAGAAGAAGGTGTGACGTGGTGAAAAAAAACACTGGAAAATTTTTTCGGATTTGGAATAATCGTTTCACATAATCTTTTATCATGTCGTGTACAAAGTACTGTGCACAGACCATTAGTAAAGTTTGGCCAAGAAGCGTTTTGCATGTAATATTTGAAATTTTTAGAGGTTTTGCATTTTTAAAGGAACTAAGGAACTGTAAGCGTAATTTCAATTGACCCTTCATGATGGAAGGGCAATGCCAGATTTACAGCACGGTACCCTTAACAGCTTTTTTTATTCGTCTAGTACAGAGATATCTACATGGAAACTCATCAAAACCCGCTTTTTGTTTCGCTGAAATTTCCGGTGTGCGCTGTGTTGCGCACTAGAAATTACGCGTACCTTCCCTTTCACAGCCTCTGTGAAGGTTCTTTAAAACTTTTCCGGAACCGAACTGATCACGTAAAAATGCAAAACATAATAAACACGTTTCTGAATCAGTGTATACTGTACAGGCTTATTATAGGCATTTTACAAACCATTGACATTTCATTTCACTTTGGATATTTAGATGTTTTGCTTTTCTGTATTTTCCAATAAAGATATTTTTGAAATAGAAAATAATAGAAAATCATTTTTAGGATATTTGCACGTACTGCACTGAAACTTGATATTTAAAAATATATTTTTTTACCTTTTGAAGAAACGTGAATCCTCCACAGTCGTAGCTAAAACAGTTATTAATAATTTTAATAATTAATTACAATATTAATAATTTTTAAAGGAATTGTAGACATTGTTTATAGTGAGCTTCTATTTATGCCGATTCACGACGCTATGATTTAAACCTTTATCTGAGTATTAATAAGCAAGATAATGACGGGGGTTTCTTGCTTGAAAAGGATAATGTTCATATTTCCTCGATTCAAAACATATATCCTCATGTCAACGATAGGTAACTGAAATTGAAATTAACCTATTTTCAGACTGATAAACAGTGATATAACTCAATCATTTTTTCTCCGACAAATATCAAGGGTATCGGTGTAAAATCAAGGGTATCGGTGTGAAATCAAGGGTATCGGTGTGAAATTAAGGATATCGGTGTGAAATCAAGGGTACCGGTGTGAAATCAAGGATATCGGTGTGAAATCAAGGGTATCGGTGTGAAATCAAGGGTATCGGTGTGAAATCAAGGTTTTCAGTGTGAAATCATGTGTAGCGGTGTGAAATCAAGGTTATCAGTGTGAAATCAAGGGTATCGGTGTGAAATCAAGGGTATCGGTGTGAAATCAAGGTTATCAGTGTGAAATCAAGGTTATCAGTGTGAAATCAAGGGTATCGGTGTGAAATCAAGGTTATCAGTGTGAAATGGAAGTACACATCTTTCAATGGAGGGTTGACAGAACCACACAGAGAACTTAAAACTATATATTTTAAAATTCTTAAAATTACCTGTCTAGAAGTTTTTTATCCATTGCAATCAGAGACTAAAAAACAAATTTTTGTCAATTATGTTGGTCAACAATGCAGTACATGGTACATATATTACATGAAGTATTAATGAACTTCCAGTAGAATATTAAACAAGATAAGTTCTGTTGAATTGGATTGGTAAAGTATGCTTGGAAAGTTCTGAACCTGAACGGTGTCCGAATTTAATGAATTTAAGCCGCGTCTCAAATCCCCCAGAAACCGGTTTTAATCGAGCGCCGGCTTAAATCTTGAATTATAATTAAATACAATTTTAAGTGGAACAAACCATATTTGAGTCACGGCGTAAATTTAAGCCGCGGAACAAATTCTTTAAATTCGGCCTCAGGATAAGTTTATTTAATCTGCCATGCGTCATACTAATTGAGGTATTGGTAATTTATAGATTAAATGTTTTGAATAATTACAAAAGAACTAATGTTTCTGCAACAAAATTTTAAACTGGATAGATCCATGAATTAAGGTTTTGAATTGGATAAGTACCTGAATTATGGTTTTGAACTGGATAGGTACTTGGATAAAGGTTTTGAACTGGATAAGTACCTGGATAAAGGTTTTGAACTAAATAAGTACCTGGATAAAGACTTTAGAACTGGATTAGTACCTGGATAAAGACTTTAGAACTGAATAGGTACTTGGAAAAAGACTTTAGAACTGGATAAGTGCCTGGATAAAGGTTTTGAACTGGATAAGTACCTGGATAAAGGTTTTGAACTGGATAAGTAACTGGATAAAGGTTTTGAACTGGATAAGTACCTGGATAAAGGTTTTGAACCTGGATAAAGGTTTTGAACTGGATAAGTACCTGGATAAAGGTTTTGAACTGGATAAGTTCCTGAGAGTTTGGTAAGTTCTTGATGATGTTCATCTGCGCTTTATCTAGGATACGGTTAAGGGAGTATGCAACATCCTCACCATTCCTCTCTTTTATCTTGATCTTTACAAAAGTCAAAATTATTTCAGACAAAAAAAATAATGCTTGCTTCCATACAATTAATATCGTTAAAATTATAAAAATTATATATTTTAAAAGTATTAGAAAACTACTAATATTACCTTAATTTGAACGGATTCTGGATTAAAATTCGGTATATTCTCTTTCATGTGTTCCCTTAAGAAGAAAAAAATGTGAAACTTTTACAAATGTATGTTTATATACCTTATTTTTCATTATAATCAATTTATATATTCAAATATTTTCCTTTTTGATTTAGCGGAATCGTCAAAAAGGATGATTTAGTTTTTGTAGCTCTTATTCTGTTATCACTACGCATTTTGTACAGTACGATGTAATTTAGATTTTAATGGAAAAAATATGAGGAAAAACTTCATTTTTCTAATTAGATTACATTACTTTTTTAAAATCTAGACGCAGTATAAAAATGCGCATTTCTTTTTCTGTTATTTCCCTTTTGCGCATTTCATTTTAAAGGAAGAACGTAATTGTGTTTAATAAAACATTCTTTGAACTAATTAAAAAACAAAGAGTCATTTTCTTAAATCTTGATTTTTCAAATGCTTAAAAGCATATATAAAATACTACACAGTACACTGCTACTATATGATTCACAATAAAAAAATCTTATAACGTTGTGTTGACTGTTGAGACTATTGAAATTGGCAGTACAAATATTGACCTATCAAACACTCTAATATATTTTCATAAATGTTCAAATTTGTCAATTAGATATTCATACTATTTGCTTACTTGATCAAAATAACTGATTAAAAATCTAATACACGTCTGTAGTGTAAAAGGTGGTAAAAGGCATCATCAATTGCAAAAAGTATGAAAAAAGTCTGCACGAAAACATTAAAAACAATAAACGACGTTAATAGGTTATACAAATTAATTATACCAATACCCATTCCTTTATAAAAAGCGGGTTTTTTGGTTTGCAACAATTTTCATTTAATCCCGCCGGGATATTTTCATTGAAAGATAAATTAGAATTAAATTTATTAAATTTAATCTCTTTAATGGCAAAAAATAGAAATTAGCGTATTTTCTCTTATTTTCCTTTTCTTATCGACATAAATAAAGTAGTGATTTGTTTCTGTTTGTTTGTATGTCCGATCATAACTCACGAACCACATGATCAAATTGCCTCAAAATTTGATTTGTGGAACTCGGGAGATCCAGGGGAATGTTCTTAGTTTAGTTTTGAGATTCTAAGTGGAGTGGGTCGACTTTTATAGGGAAATATTGCTGAAATAGTATTTCTAGACCATACGCGGGTAAACGGCGGAAGTAACTGGGCAACGCTGTGTCCCCACATGTTACTATGTGATAATGTTGAAATTTCTGAAGGCGAAAAGAATATAATAACTTTTTTTTAAATATAATTTTTATTTAAAATAAAAAATTATTTCTCTACCTGATGGTTTTATTGTCAACTGTATTCAACAACTGTGCACCGTTTTCCAACAAAAGTCTAAAAATTTATAATTATTTAATTTTCCTTAATTAAAAAAAAAGATTATGAAAAATTGTCTTTTTGATTTTCTGAATTAATGACCAAAGCAAATACTTAATTCTTAAAATTCTTAATACAAGTTACTAAAGTTAACATTTTATTATTTTTAAACACGTTTAATATAAAAGAATTAAATTCACCTGACAGCCTCTATATTTTTCTTTTTAACTGATAAATACAAGGGTGTTTGTCTACCCCTCAAATCCTCTAAAATATAAAATATTAGTCATAAATACGATTACTCTATTATGAAAAATCTATTATTATAATTGATTACATGATGCAAAAATACGATGTCTTGATTACTCTGTGATGAAAAATCTATTATTATAAATTGATTACATGATGCAAAAATACGATGTCTTGATTACTCTTTGATGAAAAATCTATTATTATACATTGATTACATGATTCAAAAAATTAAATTTCGTATTAAATTTTCAATACGAATGAAGCCACTTTATAGCGCCTATACAAGATTATTATGATAATTTACTTATGCAGTATACTTCTTTTAAGATACAGGGTGTCCCACATCATTTCGGATCATTTATGGCTCAACTTTTTGTCATTTTAATAAATTTTATAAGCCTAATATAAAAAACTGTACGCAGATTATCAAGGTTATAATGCAAGGAAAGTTAATTGCAGTTGCGTATACTCTGCGTGCATATTGAAACCAGTTCTCTCTGCAGGGCGAAATTTGTGAACAAGAATAGATGCATCAGTGTTCGTTTAGTATCCGAGGAGAATAAAAGCATTAAATTGAAATTTATGCGGAAACCTTTTAACTGCGCATTATTCCTTTAAAATATTCTAGTACCTGGATCTACTGTTTGAAGAGCTTTATTTTCCAAAATAAATTGAAGAATCTCCAACCTTGATAATATTTAAATAGTATCTATTATTTAATTCTTTTCTTTCATGAATATTCTACCCTTTCCCAGATTTGTATGCTCATATCTTTTTAACCTGATACTGTAGACCTTATGTATTTTAGTCTATGAACACTATGCTAAATAAAATTATCAACGGTTCAGCCCATCAGGTTTCAAATATAATAGGGTATGTAAATTACACTTTGAGGCATGTAATCAGCTTCCGTTATCTTGACAATGTTTTTTTTTTGTGTGTCTTATTGCGTTTTTGCCCCAAATATCACCATATATGTGTGACAGGCGGGATAAGAAAAAAATGCATTTAAAAAATCTTGTTTTCTTAAAAGAATCCAGTAATGTTTAACTAACCTGTTTTTGTCTGCAGCTATGTGCAGACATGTTCTACCATCTCTCATCCCGGCGTTGATGTTACCAGAGTTCCTGGGATCCCTCACTAGCTCAGCTAGTATATCCAAGCTATTCACCTATACACAGGGGGATATGTTTAGATCCTGCGATATCTACATGGACAACAAGGATTTAAGATAATACAGATTATAAAGATGATTGTGTAGGAGTGGATTTCAAGGATATTAAACATTTTGAACATACAAACTAAGATCTTTACGGATTTACTTCCAAGGATTATGATATTTCCGACTTTAAACATGTAAAGAGGATAAAGAGGAAATATGCTTGTTATGCATTCTGATGCCGTACACTGAGCCGGAAACATAAGTAACTAGTAAGTATATCGTTGAACGAAACTTCCTAATTTCCTTTTTAGGGTCTATAAAGAAATTGAGTTCTTGCCACAAACTCTGATTTGTAACTCAATGTCGTTTTTGTAGATTTTAATTTAACAAATCAGAAAAGAAAAAGAGAATGCAAAGAAACCAAATGAAATAAAATTTCTGAACAAAAATATTGGTATCTACACATTTAACTCTCTGACCCAAATCAAGAAATTGGTTTTCCAAAACTGAGGAAAAGAGGATAAAGAGGAAATATGCTTGTTATGCATTCTGATGCCGTACACTGAGCCGGAAACATAAGTAACTAGTAAGTATATCGTTGAACGAAACTTCCTAATTTCCTTTTTAGGGTCTATAAAGAAATTGAGTTCTTGCCACAAACTCTGATTTGTAAATGCAAAGAAACCAAATGAAATAAAATTTCTGAACAAAAATATTGGTATCTACACATTTAACTCTCTGACCCAAATCAAGAAATTGGTTTTCCAAAACTGAGTTTCATTTACTCTGTCTTAAGTTTCGAGCTCAGGACACTTAACACTGTAAAGGCCTGACACGTGTACGGGTGAGACTCCAAGGTACAGACCTGACAAGCAACATGTACTGGGGAGACTCCAAGGTACAGGCCTGACAAGCAACATGTCCGGGTTGGACTCCAAGGTACAAACCTGACAAGCAACGTGTACTGGGGAGACTCCAAGGTACAGACCTGACAAGCAACATGTACTGGTGAGACGCCAAGGTACAGACCTGACAAGCAACATGTACGGGTTAGACTCCAAGGTACAGACCCGACAAGCAACGTGTACTGGGGTGACTCCAAGGTACAGACCTGACAAGCAACATGTACGGGTTAGACTCCAAGGTACAGACCTGACAAGCAACGTGTACGGGTGAGACTCCAAGGTACAGACCTGACAAGCAACGTGTACAGGTGAGACTCCAAGGTACAGACCTGACAAGCAACGTGTACTGGGGAGGGGACACTCAAGGGTACAGACCCGACAATCAACGTGTACTGGGGAGACTCCAAGGTACAGACCTGACAAGCAACATGTACAGGTGAGACTCCAAGGTCTTCATTATGAAGATCTGCCCTAGCCCCTCCTCTCAGTAATAAACAAACTAAACAATAATGATTTTCAAAACAAAACTATATTTTACAGGGAACCTCGACCTAAGTAACACTCTGATTATGCCCGATTCACCCCTGGGATATTTGTTTTCTATCTGAAAATTGATCGTTTACAGGGACTTGCGGATTTCTACAGCAGAGTCAAGGACAATTTTTAATCAGATACTGTTAAGAATCGGGCATACGTCATTATTTTTAAAAGATAAGTAGTTTTTAATTATTAATTGTTAAAGTTCCCAGCGTTGCCCGTGAATTTTTAAAATCAAATTTTAAAAAGATATAATTGTTAAGAAAAAAATATCTATTTTTTATCCTTTAACAAATTTCAGCCTATTCGGTCCAGCCGTTTGGTCAGCAATAGCTAAGAAATACATATATACATATATAAAGATATACATAAATACAATGCTTTATAATGGATTTTATCAACAATATCACCTGATTTCAAATCAATCTGTTCAATTGCAATGTGAAGCAGTGTTCTAGGGACAAATCTTTAAAATATTTCCCTTTTCTGGATTTCTTTAATTTGAGAACTTCAAATTTTTTATTGCAGATGGTGGTTTTAAAGATTTGTTTCCTGAAGTTTCCAAGCTTTGATGTAGGCTGGTTAATCCAGTGGTCAGGGGGTAAAGGATAATTCTAAATATTCCTAGAATTAGAAAATTCTAACTGGAAATTTTGTTTTTAAATTTGAAATTTTATATCTAAGTAGATTTTGATAAAAGATTAAACCAGGAAAGAGTCCAGTAAAGAGCTAAATAGTTTTCATATGGATTAACTAATAGTAGTGGGAGTAATCTTGTTAAATTATATTTTACTAGATAAACATTTAAATCCTAAATCTTTCAAAAAGGAAACCAGCTTATTTTCGAGTATTAGGCCAACTCTAAAAGTTCAAAACGGCATTTAGAGTAAAATGATTCATCGATTAAAATAAAAAACGACGTTTTGCAGGAGAAAACCCCAAACACATTTTTTTCGATTTTTATAACAAATCAAAAATAAAATAATTGTTAAAAACAACAGATATAAAAATCTTTATAATTTCTGTTTAAAACATTGAATATTGAAAAACGAACCAAAACAAACTGATGAGAATCCGTCCTGACCTGAGAAGCTTCAACCCCATCTTCATCAGGAGCAACTTCAGCAAGTACAGAGGTTAGTCCATCATGATCTTGATGCAGTACACATTCAAGTACATTGGTCTAAACAGTACATATTCAAGTACACTGGTCTATACAGTACATATTTAAGTACACTGGTCTAAACAGTACATATTCAAGTACGCTGGTCTATACAGTACACATTCAAGTTCACTAGTCTAAACAGGACACATTCAAGTATAACACTTGTCAATACAGTACACATTTAAGTACAATGGTCTAAAAACAGTACATATTCAAGTACATTGGTCTACAACAATACACATTTAAGTACACTGCAGGTGGAGTTAGTACACATTTAAGTACACTGGTATAAACAGTAAAAATTCAAGTACAATAAACTAAATTGTACACAATCTAGTATACTAGATTTGACAGTACATATTCTAGTACACAGTTTAAACTGTACATTATGCTGAATATTACACATTCAAATACGCTTAATTGTCTAAACAGTACACATTAAGTTGACTAGTTTGAGCAGTACATATTCCTGTAGATTGTACCTGTGGATCTGAAATACAGCTTCCAACTCTGATAAACTCAGATTTCTTCGTATTCTTTTTCTCCTAATTTTATAAAATGATTTTACTTTTGGGGTTTAAATAGAAAGTTGATTTGTTGGAAGGTCAGATAATAACGGCTGAACTGATCAGCCACATTATCCCATGGAAGGTCCGATAATAACGACTGAACTGATCAGGCAATTATCCCATGGAAGGTCAGATAATTTCGAGTTTTTATTTTGCGAATCCTTGAATACAATCAGGAAACTCTGCAAAATCTTTATGTGTTTATTTAAAATGTAGGAAAGGCTTGTAGAAAAGACAGCAACAAAAAGATAATACTATTACAAGGATTGATATTTTGAATTTTTTAAAATCTTTTTGATTAAGGTGGTTTTATTATGCAAGTACTATAGAAATCAGAACGTTTGTGTTGTGAATCTCAGGATCAAGCAATTATCTCCATTTTAATCAGATCTACGGGTTAATCTAAACCATCTCCGATATCCCTTGCTGCAACCCTGCAGAGATATTTTAATTGAGAGATCAAGCATTTATCTCCATTTTAATCAGATCTACGGTTTAATCTAATCCATCTCCGATATCCCTTGCTGTTCATACCATGCAGAGATAATTTGATTGAGAGATCAAGCAGTTATCTCCATTTTAAGCAAATCTACGGGTTAATCTAATCCATCTCCGATATCCCTTGCTGGTCATACCCTGCAGAGATAATTTGATTGAGAGATCAAGCAGTTATCTTCAAATTAAAAACTGCCCACATTGGATATCGAGATTAAGCAATCAAGATTATAACGATATTTTAAAGAAAAGTTCCAACCTCAGAGCATAGATAAATTTGACGATATAAATATAAATATTCATTTCTGCCTGTTGGAGAGAATACAGAGGGATTCCCTCATCCTCTCGTTTTCCAAACATTAAATCTGAAATAATAATATTATTTGAAATAATATAAAAAAAAATCGTTCAAATATCTGAGTTTCCAAAAGGAATAATTCTAAGTGGTCTTCAAAATGGAACACTCATGTATGACAAGTCCATTAGCGCCTGATCCAATCAGGGTTCAGTCATGTGTTTGTTGTCTATTCTGAACCAATAGAAATAGTATAGCGGTAACATCTATCTTTCTATCTATCTTACTATCCAATCAGAGGTATGAATCCATCAATTGGCGCTATCAGTAAATGGAAATATTTACTTCTACTGAAACTATAGTGGGGAACGTTTTAACCTTTATCCTCTCATTATTTTTTATTTTATATCTATTTTTTTGTGTTCCTTCCGACTTTTGATAAAAGGGTGAGACACATAGAGAATAGAATATATAGAGAGGAATTAAAAGAATCTCTCGGTATGAATTTTTTCAGTCCCTTTCAGCCTGAAAGGGAGTTCAAAGTGTACAAATTCAAGTAGAAAAGTTATATTTAGAAAACTTGAAACAAAACAATGGTTTAAAACTTTCTTAAAGTCGTTATAAAAAGGCTAAACCTCAGACTTAAAGACTTTCCCTGATATAAAGAGTTTATTCTTTATTAAATAGAGTTTATACACTGGATATCGAAGCTAAGTGATAATTGATATCCAAAACAAAAGTTTTATCCTCAAGCTGAAACCATCATTATGACCAATTTTTACTTAATGGGAAACACGACTTAGCCTATCTCACGGTAAACTATAGGTCCTGGTTAAAAAACCCGGTGAGTCTGTAAATGTACAGGATCACGGTAAACTAGAGGTCCTGGTTAAAAGTCCCAGTGAGCCTGTAAATGTACAGGATCACGGTAATCTAGAGGTCCTGGTTGAAAGTCCAGTGAGTCTGTAAATGTACAGGATCACGGTAAACTAGTGGTCCTGGTTAAAAGTCCCAGTGAGTCTGTAAATGTAAAGGATCACGGTAAACTAGAGGTCCTGGTTAAACGTCCCAGTGAGTTTGTAAATGTACAGGATCACGGTAAACTAGAGGTCCTGGTTAAAAGTCCAGTGAGTCTGTAAATGTACAGGATCACGGTAAACTAGAGGTCCTGGTTAAAAGTCCCAGTGAGTCTGTAAATGTACAGGATCACGGTAAACTAGAAGTCCTGGTTAAAAGTCCCAGTGAGTCTGTAAATGTACAGGATCACGGTAAACTAGAGGTCCTGGTTAAAAGTCCCAGTGAGCCTGTAAATGTACAGGATCACGGTAAACTAGAGGTCCTGGTTGAAAGTCCAGTGAGTCTGTAAATGTACAGGATCACGGTAAACTATAGGTCCTGGTTGAAAGTCCAGTAAGTCTGTAAATGTACAGGATCACGGTAAAAAGTCCAGTGAGTCTGTAAATGTACAGGATCACGGTAAACTATAGGTCCTGGTTGAAAGTCCAGTAAGTCTGTAAATGTACAGGATCACGGTAAGCTAGAGGTCTTGGTTAAAAGTCCAGTGAGTCTGTAAATGTACAGGATCACGGTAAACTAGAGGTCCTGGTTGAAAGTCAAGTGAGTCTGTAAATCTACAGGATCACGGTAAACTAGAGGTCCTGGTTGAAAGTCCAGTGAGTCTGTAAATGTACAGGATCACGGTAAACTAGAGGTCCTTGTTAAAAGTACAGTGAGTCTGTAAATGTACAGGAAGAGTAAAAAAAGTGTGATTAGCTGCGTCTCTGGTGCGATATTGTACCTTTTTTGTGCAACTCTCCTGTATGGTATTTTTTTCAATTATTTTTGGAATCCTTTTTTTAGTAGCCTAAAAAAACATCCGCGAACCTTTTTTTCCTCAAAATTAAAAGTTCAGAAAAGCAAAAATGTGTATATATATATTATTTCCATCAAATTCTAAAGTTTCATAAAGATTTAATCACAGCATCTCAGAAAATTTGCAAAATTGTAATAAAAAAATTCGCAATTTTCAGTTCTGGTCTAGTTTATAAGGAAAAGTTCTTAAATCCTTTGATTCCTTTCTTCTCAGTATATTCTAAAGTTATAAATATACGCTGTTCTGTTGAAAACTGAGGAGCCATTTATAAAAAAAACAACTTTTCCTTAAAAATTAGACCAGAACTGAAAATTGAAAATTTTCTTATGACAATTTTGCAAATTTTCTGTGATTCTGTAATCCAATATTATAAGAGAAAAAAAAAGTTTTGCGGTTTTATTGGGCCATTGGAGTACAAAAGAAATATTCCAAAAATTATTGAAAAATACCATTTTGAAGAGTTGCACAAAATTGCTTCTCTTGAATCTTTATCGGAATTAAGTCTTTACAACAAACTCAAATTATCTAATCCCTATATATTTGCAACCTGATGGTGTAAACCTTTGATTTTTCAAGCTGTGATATTTAATCGAACAGAATTCATAATTTGAAATATCTAAAAGTACGACATTTGGTTGCAAAGATAAATGGATAAAAACAATCAGAGTTTGTGCCAAAGACTCAATACATTTAATTAACTTACATATCTGTCAAATTTACTTAATGTCACAGTGCAGACTTTTGATATTTCAAATCATGAATAATAATTTAGATCTATAAATTCGGGTTGGGTCTATGCCTCGTAAAAGAGATTCTATGCCTAATACCGGCCGGGTACACACATATTGAGTCATGCCGGATATAAATATTTGTTCTATATCTAGATATCTATCTATATCTGCTAGCTGTGTTTTGTTTGTCTGTCTGTTCAAAAAAAGCCCAATTAAATGGAATGTATTTGAACCAAAAAAATTGATATATAAAAAGGAGATTCACCCACAAATTTTAATTTCTTTTTGTTACCCAATCAAATTATTTAAACTGGGTTCGGAAAAATTTATGTTAAATTAAGTTACATTTTATTTCTGAAAACTTTTAAATTTCGAATTATAAATTCACAATAAAACTAACAGGAAATCTACACATGTCTCGCTACAAGATTGTCAAGATTTATTTATATTTAAATCCTGTAAAAGTAAAACTGAGGCCGAATTTAAAGAATTTGAGTCACGGCTTAAATTTAAGCCGTGGCTCAAATTGTATTAATTTTTCAAGATTAAGGCCGGCACTCAATTGAAACCGGTTTTTGGTGGATTTGAGACGCGTCTTAAATTCATTAAGTTCGGACACTGATCATTTAATTTAAATATTTATTCGACAAGTATGATTTTTTGCACAGTTTATTATAATAATTAATTAATTAATAATTAATGTCATTAAATACATAGAATAAATGTACAATAATGTGTCTGTCATTTTTATATAGAAACTTTAAATAACATTTTCACAATGAAAGTGTATTTCTTTCTCTAAACTTTGAAAAACAAACAGTAATTTATTTGCATTCTTTGTTGCTTCTTGCATAAATATTTCATGGTTTTCAAATCCAAGATTCGATGATAAATAAAAAAATCATTTTGAGAAAACAAAATAAATTTGGGAAGAGTCACAACAAAGTATGAATCTTACTTTATTGTGATAAAAAAAAATCAAAATAACATTTAAATGCAATATTTTACGAAATTATATAGATGGTTTAAACTCTTTCTGACTTTTAGATAGTTAAAAGTTATAAATGTGTGTAAACGTATGTGTTACTAATGGTAATTCTAAACAAACTTAATTCAAATTAATTTCTGAAACTTTGCACTAAAATTCTATAAATCAAACAACTTGTTAATGAAAATTTATAAAAAAAAGGTAAAAATAAAATGAGCAGAATTCTAAATAAAAGTGTTCAGAAACGTTACAAACGTTACAACGTATCACAATAATCCACCGTCATAAACTTAATAAAACTGTTTGTAAAGTTATCTTTGATTGTTGCTTCCTTTTTTGACCGAATTTAGGTACTGTGATGCAATTTTAATATTTAATATCCGATTCACAACCTTTGCATGAACAACGATGAATATGAGATATTCTTAATTTTAAAACTAAAAAAAAATAACTTCAATCGTGGTCTCTCTGTAACATTTAAACTGCGAAGAAAATAAGAAAACAAATGAGAATTTGACACTTTACATGATTAGAGATGGGCCCATTCGGTTTCTTTTCTTTTCGTTCTTTTATCGTTCTTGTACGATCCATTTCGTTCATTTTTTTCAATCGTTCAAACAAATTTGCTTTCGTTTGTTTTCAAAATTAGCGTTCATTTTCCATCTATTTCATTCGTTTTCTCACTTTTTTTTCTGAACGTTCACGAAAAATTTCGTTCTTTCTCGAAAATATCATTCGTTCAGAACCATGATGCCCCATGCTGTTCACATGATAGATAAACGAAGAAAGTAGATAAACGACTTTATCTGCAAACTTTAAAGGGAACTGAACCCGTTGTGATGAGATGGATGCTCACTTAAAGTGAGAGAATAATATTTTGAGGCAAACGTTAAAATTCGCTTCAGTTTGAGAAAAACTTTAAAAAGAAAATATAGGTGGCAAACATGCATCATGTTGTCGATGAATATAAAGCACGTGTATTCCACTAAACATAAAATTGAAAGATGCCCAATTAGAATATTGAGTTTGTAATGTAAAGAGATACTTTGCAGTATATTTTATGCAAAGTAAAGTTTTAGGGTAGTTTTAATTTTTTCAATATCAGAGACTTTTGTCCGAATGTAATGAATTTGAGCCGCTGCTTAAATCTGCCAAAAACCGGTTTCAATTTAGCGCCAGGTTAAATCAGAAAAATTTTAATGCAATTTTAAGTGGAACCAACCAACCATAATTGAGCCGCGGCTTAAATTCTTAAATTCGGCCTGAGGTGTAGGTTTTTTGGTCGTCTTTGATTTTCATGTTTACTAGCACACACTGTACTATAAATAGATTAGAAAGGATAGAGAAGCAGAATACGAATAAGGTTACACTTTTATTAAAACAATATAAACCCAGGACTCAGATCTCAGAATTGAGAATCAGCAGAATCTGGCCTCTCCTCCACAAATCTGAAATCAGAAACTTATTTCAAGTTGAAAAGGGTTACCTGCACCAAGGATGAGATGGTAAAGACGACCTCAACCTTTACGGAGATGATCTCAATGGTAATTGGAGACTTTTGTCTTGAATATTGTGTTTATAATGGCATAATAATGATTTTGCAAAGAAATAAAATAATTTCCCAGTTGCAGAAACACATTAAAGGGACAAACCGGCTATGTAAGGTAGTTGAACTGAGCATGCAGTGTTGTGGAAATCTTTTTTAGGATTCATTTGAGACATATAAAATTTTTTAAAGATCTGTGAATCCTGAGTTTAAGCGCAAATTTGACGTTCAAAAATCCAGTGGCATCCTATTGTTATATTTATTGGACATGCGCCATCTTGTTTACCAATGATGCGGGGTGCCATCTTGTTTACCAATGATGCGGGGTGCCATCTTGTTTACCAATGATGCGGGGTGCCACCTTGTTTACCAATGATGCGGGGTGCCATCTTGTTTACCAATGATGCGGGGTGCCACCTTGTTTGCAGAGGGTACCATTTTATTATTGTTTTCAAGGGCTTATACAGGAACTCAGAGCTTTTACACTTTTTAGTCAGACAGAAGTCCAAATAAAAAATCTATCTCAAATACATATTCATTATTCATCCTTATCGGATGAGCGCTATCAGGGATAGCGAAGTAAAACAATTTGGATTTAATCTACTTAATTAATTGCACCGCCGAGTTTCCCGTGGAATATCGAAAATCAAATTAAATTTTAAAACATTTAACTTATTTAGCTTATGTCATCCCCAAGGGTATCCATGAGTTTCCTCACTAAAATTTAGCCGATTTGATTCAGCCGTTTGGCCACCCATAGCAAACATATAAATGAACGAAGAGCTTTATTTAAGTTTAAGTTGAGTTTTTCATTTTCAAAAGTGTTTTTTTACTATCTCTAGTTTGAATAGTAATTATTACTAACACATAACAGTACAATAAAATGTTGATTTTTTACAAACAATGCTTTTTTTCTGCTAGTTTAGTTTAAAGGAGAGATAAAGTATAGCACTTGCAAGGTAATTGAACTGTATGTGTACCATTTGCCCCCCCCCTATGAGCTACTATGGGGGGGGGGGTGGCAAATATTTTTGAGCTTCGCGCTAAATTCGCCCCCCCCCCCTAGATTTATTTCTGTATCCCCTCGCCATTGCTTGTTTTAAAGGGCACCTCGCATCTTGTTTACAAGGGGTACCATCTTGTTTACAGAGAGTGGCATCTTGTTAAGAGATTGCACCTTCTTGTTTACTGGTGGCACAATATATTTTATTTACAGGGACGCCACCTTGTTTACAGAGGGCATAATCTTTTTAAAGGGGTGCCATCTTGTTTACAAGGTGCGCCATCTTGATTACAGAGAACGCCATCTGGTTTACAAGCGAGGTGCCATCTTGTTTACAGGCGGCCCATCTTGCCTACCTGCCGGTGTAAGGTCGAACTCCGTAGGCTCGATCTCGCTTGAGACACCAGACAATGCTACCACAGACAAACATACATGTGAGCAGAACAGCTCCCACCAAACCAAATACGAGAAGCAGGCTCATCACAGTAATCTTAGCAGGAGGAGACTGAGCCTGAAAACAAGCCAAAATGAAACTCATACGATTAGAGGTGTTTTGTCCAATAGGCAAGGGAAGAGTATGAGGGGGATATGTAGCTAAATCAGAATTATATCTCAGAAGTTTATTTATTGTGCTTTCAACATTTTTAAATAGAAAAATTGACAGGTATTTGAGAAATGATTTTAAGCTAAACCGTCTGAAAATAGCTCTCGGATAAAAATTTGCAGATAGACATCAAAAGATTTGATAAAACCTTTCATAAGTTAAAAAATACCTCACACTCCAATCTTTCAATGCAAGGATATTGCCACATCTTACTATCCGTCCTCACCGTAGCGTTCCTGAAAAATTTAACCAATAAGCGGTAAGTTTTGATATTGCCAGAAAATCATTTTTTTCATCAAAGTTTTAAATTGTTTCTAGAAAATTTAAACTTTTAACATAATTTTATAAAAATTACAATTTTAGGTGAATTGCAATTTATAGAATAATGCTGTAAGCCTGCAGATATAAAGACAAAAATTGGCAGAATTCAACACTTTTTTAGATAAAAAACAAGAACGATATCTTCCTAATAGCTACTAATATGGATCTTTGAATGGAGGTCTACTTGAAATTACGTTTCTCTAGTCCCAATAATACGGTGCAAATGGAAACACTACACTCTCAGAAATGTAAAATTTCCATTTCATAAAAATTGTAAAAATTTGTGGCTTCCCGCTTCAGTCATCAAATTTTATCTAACTATCATTCATAAAAATTTGAAGTCTTGTATTAGTAAGTTGAACTTTGCTCCGGTGCTCCAACAAATTTTGTTAAATGGAAATTTTTTAAATTTTAGTGGGTAAAGATTAACGAAACTTAATTTTAAACTTGTGTTTGCAAGAATGGACCTGAAATAGAATCCTAAATCAAGATGTAGAACCCCATCATCTCCAACTATACTGTACGTGGTGTTTAGAGGACTAAACCTGTACTGCTGTCCCTACAAAATGTATATTGTATAAATGAACAAAAGTGGTTTAATAGATTTTATCAAGATTATTGATTTTTTTTTAAATCTAAGAATACTGAATAGGCGTTAATTCATTTTTAAAATATTAAAATAAAATTCACGAAGATTGCATTCTGTTAATTCTTTTTTTTGGAAGCAAACTATAATTTCTTTGGAAAATATTAGAGGAAAAAAGAAAATTTTTTAAACATAATATTTTTAGATATTTTAAATCGTTTGCACTTATGATTTTTGTTCATTACTTTCTGACTTTGCTTAACTCCATTAAAAAATTTATCAAAAAATATATTCCTTTAAACCCATTTTATTGATTAATTGATTAAGAATGAAATTTATTTTTTATTTTTCTCATCTCTTTATCTTTGCAACCTTGGATATTACTAACCATATATTCTATTAGTCCAAATAACCTAAGTTTGAAATATAAAAGGTTTATATCATCAGGTTGCAAAAATATAGGGAAAATTGGCAAATGCTGAATTACTTCTTTTATATTTAGAAATTCCACTAAAGCTATCAGTCATTCCGATAGAAAACTTTACTTTTAAACTTTCTTGATGATAAGGTGTTGGACGAGGAGCAAACTTTCAGTCCAAGGAAAACTTTTCTACAAAGTAGGCTAAACAATGATATCAAGGTGTTTTGTTGAAAAAAATTCTATTTTGTGAACCATGAACCAAAAACTTTAAAGTTAAGGAATAATATGTCTTTGCAGATATCAATGAAAAGAAGCAATACCAGGAAATCTAAAAAATGTAATCACTACTAGGAAATTCTGAAAACGATTACTTCCTGAAAATCACGGAAAGGATTACTAACTCTGGAAACCTAGGAAAGAATTTCTACCTGGAAATCCCGGACAGAAGTATTACTTGGAAATCAGGGAAGGATTTCTACCTGGAAATCCCGAAAAGAATTTCAACCTGGAAATCTCGAAAATAATTACTACTTGGAAATCTAGGAAAGGATTATTACCTGGATATCTAGGAAAGGATTTCTACCTGGAAATCCCGAAAAAAATTTCCTCCTGGAAATCTATGAAAGGATTACAACCCGAAAATCTAGGAAATGATCTTTGAAATGATTACTATCTGGAAATCTCGGAAATGGATATTTACCTGAAAATCTATGAAAGGATTTCTACCTGGAAATTTATAAAAGGATTTCTACCTGGAAATCTAGGAATCTGGAAAAAAAAAAATAACCACCTAGAAACCTCGGAAATTACTACTACTTGGAAATCTCGGAAATAATAACTACCTGGATACCTTGGAAATAAATGACTACCTTGAAATCTCGGAAATGGATATTTACCTGGAAATCTCGGTAATTAATAACTACCTGGAAATCAGTTCTCTCCTGCCGAACTCCCTGGGTTTTACACGCCACGTCAATATTCTCGTTCAGGGTAAGAATATCCCATGATATAATTATTTCCCAAACCTCAAAATAAAATTTTATTTTTCAAACCATAAAATATATATATATATATATATATATATGATCCCTCTGATGGAGTAATTAGTGTCATGAGGGTTAATTACCAACCTTCCGATGGAAATTTTTTATTCAAATATAAAATTTTATTTTTCAAAATTCGACTCTAAAAAATTCCACGGGCAACGCCGGGCACTTCGACTAGTATATACATATTTGTTTGTATATGTAAATATATGTTGGCTAAAGCTGGCAAAACGGCTGAACCGAATGAGTTGAAATTTGTTTAGGGAATCCATGGGTACTCTTGGGGTAACATAGGCCAAATAGTAATAAAATAAAAGAATAAATGATAAAATGATTAATATTAAACCTGGTCCAGTGTTGCAGGATTGGTTGAACTAGAGAAGAGAGGATTTAGCTCAAGATGGTTGGAGAGAGAGTAAGCTGAGTTAGATGCACCAAGACACTTTAATAGTTCAGAGTTTTGCATTCATCTTGGCCTGTCCTGTCCTGTCCTGTCCCTGTCCCTGTCCCTGTCCCTGTCCCTGTCCCTTGCCCTGTCCCTGTCCCTGTCCCCTGTCCTGTCCTGTCCTGTCCTGTCCTGTCCTGTCCTGTCCTGTCCTGTCCTGTCCTGTCCTGTCCTGTCCTGTCCTGTCCTGTCCTGTCCTGTCCTGTCCCTGTCCCTATCCTTTCCCATACCATCCCATCTTGTTTTATACCTGTATAGGTGTAAAATGTATCATATTGTATCCACATTCTTTTGCAACAATAAGCCTATCCTTCCACACCTCCAGAGGACCTATAAGCATTAACAAAACTGTATTACTTTCGATTATAATTCTTTAAACTATGTTAGTTTGTTTATTATATCAATCTTGTTGCAGATAAAAATTTCAAAATTTCAAATCAAATAAATTCCAACTAATTTTTCACAATTTTTGATAATTTTGAATAATCTTTCATTATTTTTACTCAAGCAACTTTTGCATGAATTTTGCATGAACTTTGCATAAATTTTGTTTCAATTATATATCAATTATGCATCGATTTTGCATCAATTTTGATCCATGATGTGTCACTTTTGATCACTTATGAATCACTTTTGCATTCGTTTTGATCAATTTTGCATTCATTTTGCATCATTTTTTTTATCAATTTTATATCTTTTTTATCGATTTTGTTTGGATTTTGTATCAAATTTGTATCAATTTTGCATCAATTTTGCATCAATTTTGCATCAATTTTGAATCAATTTTGAATCAATTTTTTATCAATTTTGTCTCAATTATTGGATGAATTTTGTATAAATTTTGTATGAATTTTGTATCAATTTTGTATCAGTTTTGCATCAATTTTGCATCAATTTTGCATCGATTTTGCATCAATTTTGCATCAATTTTGCATCAATTTTGCATCAATTTTGTATCAGTTTTGCATAAGTTTTGCATCAATTTTGCATCATTTTTCCATCAATTCTGAATCAATTTTGAATCAATTTTGAATCAATTTTGTGCCAATTTTGTGTCAACATTGTATCAATTTTTTATCAATTTAGTTTCAATTTTGCATAAATTGTATCAATTTTGAATCGATTTTGAATAAATTTTTTATAAATTTTGTATCAATTTTGCGTCAAATTTGCATAAATTTTGTATCAATTTTGCGTCAAATTTGCATTAATTTTGCATCAATTTTGCATAATTTTTGCATGAATTTTGTATATTACCTAAAAGTTTTGATAGAACCGTCTGACAAACAACAGAATCCAACGGAACAACCTTTCCCTTGCATCTAAATATATTATATATTTATAATGTTTCAACAATTAAAACAGAACCCACTGTTTCTTTTAGATTTGTTTATGTTTAAAGGGAAATTAAAACAGAACCCACTGTTTCTTTTAGATTTGTTTATGTTTAAAGGGAATGTCTAACTAGACATGGTAGTTGAGCTGAGAATGCAGCATTGTTGAGAAATTAGGATTCATTTGAGACCTATTTGACATTTTTTAGGGTGCATTGTTTTTTCATTTTTCCTGGTCGTCATTGAATAATTTTTAACAACCCTATTCTTAAAATCAAATTTTCAAATGAATCCTAAGAAGTTTCTCTACACTACTGCTATCTCAGCTAGTCAGCTCAACTACCATGTCTAGCCGTACACTCCCTTAAGTCCTACAGGGACAATTGTCGTAATTCTAAGTGACCCTATTTTTAAAAAGAGGGATATCCCCAATTAACAACTGTACCTTTTGAATTATTGTTTTAAAATTTCTTAACTTGTATATCTAATAATAATACTTGATCAGACAATGTTTAAAATGGTACCGTTCTGAATCAGACTTACCAATCTATGAATAAAGGGTCACTATAGGCCATTAATTGTTGTTTAGGCTACTGACAAGAATTGTCCAGGTTGGGTAAACAAATTGAAGACGACTTCTGTACCAGCCTCTGTTCCTTTCCTTGTACCTTAGTTGCGGTACGCGGCAAGGTACAACACGTGTTCTGCACACCAGCCGCCCCTGGCTCTCTACCTGAGCTACTCTTTCTCTTACCCTCCTCATTCCTTCCTCAACCTCTGGACTAGACTCTATCGGCAGCCAACGATTTTCAAAGTTATTTTGATCTTTATTTTATTTTAATCATCAACTTTTTTACTCTTTTTATTACATATTCCTTAATTTTTTGTCACTGTAATTCTAATTAAGGGGACTGTAGGCGTGATTTAAATTGACCCTCCATTTATAGAGTAGCATAGCTGATTCACAACGTTATCCTATAAATCTGGATTTATCTAGACTTGCTTGTAATTGTTGAACATGCACTTTGTTAGAAAGCTGCTTTTAGATCAGAAATATTAACATAGACATTCTTATTTATCAAAACCGCATTAGACACCTAATATTCTGAATTTATAAGAGAATATGTGTAACATTAGCTGTATTGAGTTCACAGCTGTAGGTTAGCGTTTACTCCAGTTATAAGACAATTTGAACCCCATTTTAGAGATAAACACACGGAGTTCTTTGCTTGATTAAGGTACCATTGTAATGTAAATCGGGCATTGCATGGAAAATTTTAAATTTAGAAATCTCAGGAGATTAATTGTGTGGTTGTGGATGCATTCCACTTTATAAACTTGAAACTACCACATTCCACTTTATCAGATTTTTTTTCAAAATGATTTGATATCAGAAATTATTATACAATTTTTGTGAATTTGGGGAAATAAAGAATTTTTGGATGAAGAATATCAAAAGAAATCACAAGGGCACGTGTAATTGCAATAAATAAATACAATTATGATTTTTGATTATTTATGGGTTTGTGGGGCTTATTAATCATAAATAAATAAATCATAGCTATCTGAATTTTTTTTTTATAACATCAAACCTAATATTTAAAATTTATTATAAAAACTTTTAACAATTTTGGAAATCCTTTTCAAAAATTTTAAAATGCTTTAACTGTTTAAATATAGTGACCCATATTTTAGGCTTACTAAGCGACAATAAAAATATTATCTTTTTCACACTTTTGTAATTAATATTTTTTTAAATACGTTTTACCAGAAGTTGTATAGTAGAATATATAAGAACCAGGAACAAGAACTGAAAACAGAATATATTATTAAATAAATAAATGAGTGAAAAGATGAATAAAATTATTAATGAATGAATGAAAGAATGAATAAACGAATGAAAAAAATAATAAATTAATGAAAGAATGAATAAATGATAGTGAATTAGATGAATAGACGAATAGACGAATAGATGAAAGGATAAATAGATGAAAGGATGAATANATGAATAAATGAATAAATGATTAAATGACTAGATGACTAAATGATTAAATGACTAGATGACTAGATGACTAAATGATTAAATGACTAGATGACTAAATGACTAGATGATGACTAAATGACTAAATGACTAAATGACTAGATGACTAGATGACTAAATAACTAAATGACTAAATGACTAGATGACTAAATGACTAAATGACTAGATGACTAGATGACTAAATGACCAAATGACTAAATGACTAAATGACTAAATGACTAAATGACTAAATGATTAAATGACTAGATGACTAAATGACTAAATGACTAAATGATTAAATGACTAGATGACTAGATGACTAAATGATTAAATGACTAGATGACTAAATGACTAAATGACTAAATGACTAAATGACTTGATGACTAGATGACTAGATGACTAAATGACTAAATGACTAAATGACTAGATGACTAGATGACTAAATGATTAAATGACTTGATGACTAGATGACTAGATGACTAAATGACTAAATGACTAAATGACTAGATGACTAGATGACTAAATGACTAACTGACTAGATGACTAGATGACTAAATGATTAAGTTTACTCGCCTTTGACATCAGAAAAATATGAAGTTGAATCATTCACAGAACTATTCAAAATTGCAAATCAATAAAGATAATTATTCTTAAATCTTGTTAATTCTGTACAGAGCCAACTCTTCCAACTTCTCAATATTCTCCTCTCTAGGTGACGAAACTGTCACAATTGTTAAGACAAGATTTTTTTAAAATTTAAAAATCTTTAAATTCATATATTCACCTACAACAAGTCAAATAAAGAGAAATCTTTCGCGAAAAAAGTTTTAAATATGAGAAAAATGTTTGCTCTTTCAATAATTTTACAAGAATCATTAAAAATAATATTGATTTTTTTATTATATGATAAAAAATGCAATTCCTGTACTCCCACTTCAATTCGTAAAAAGTCTCCCTTAAATAAGAAAGAAAATGTTTTAAGATTATTTTCTACAGTTTGGAAAAATAAAATGAAAAACTCACAAATCTATAAATTATTTAGTTTTAGACAAATTATAAGAATTAAGTAACAAAGTTAAAAATTAGCAATTATGTATAAAAACTAGATTTCGATCAGATTATACAAAAAACGATTTGAACGTTTGGACATGAAACATAATAAAACAAGTAAATTTCAAGTAAATTTCCAGCTAATAAGTCTTCACATGCGGGCATTTTTTAAAAACCAATTTTGAAGGCGGCCATTTTAAATAACAGTTTTAAAGGCGGCCATTTTGAATATTTTTCTTTCTTTCCTGAAGAACTCTCCCTTGATAGGATAGTTAGTAAACAATCGGACTTTACTGCCCAGCAGTGTTGGACCAATCCTGTTTTTTAATCTTAATTGCACGGTTCAACGGCCTTCCTGAAGCGCAGGAATTCGTTCTTGTCCAGCTTATAGATGACAGAGTCGAGATGTTTCTCCTTCTCCAGTTCCAGCTCTTTTACAATCATGACAACCATATTTTCTGAAAAATTTTATCATGTTTGAAAACATTATGGATCAATTTATCAATTTATAATTACATTGATTTGTTTATTCGTTGGTTCATTGATTAATTGATTTATTGATTCATTGATTTGTTAATTTTTTTGTTTTGATTTATTGATTCATTTATTTACTGATTCATTGAGTAGTTGAGTTATTGATTCATCGATTGATTGATTCATTCATTCATTGATTCATCGTTTCATTGATTCATGAATTTATTCGTTAATTGATTCATTGATATTTGATTCTTCGATTTCATTGATTTAATAATACATTGATTCATTCATATTTTATTGATTTAATGATTCATTGATTCATTGATTCATTCATATTTTATTGATTTAATGATTCATTGATTCATTGATGCATTGATATTTCATATGTATTCATTGATTCATTGATTTCAGAATTAATCGATTGATTGATTATTCTAAATAGATCCATCAATTTCGTCAATCAAGAGGTTTGTTGAGAACAAAAACACAAGTTTGTCCAATCCCTGTAGTCTGCACAACACTATATCCCTGGACTTTCAACATTCAAACCTAGCATAGAGATTCTTAATCAAAATTGAGGCAAATCGGTCTAGTGCTCATAAGTTATGATCGGACATACAAACGTACAGACAACCCGAGTTTACTACATTACAAAATATTCACATAGATTCAGCCTGCTGACAAAAAGTCTTATCAATTTGTTTGACTTTGAAGTGTCGCAACGCCTTGGGTTTTGACTTTACCATTTTAACTCAATTATGCTTTTCTGTAGCCCTTTATATGTATATTTTAGCACTGTAAATTAGTTGCTATTAGCTTTAAATAACAGTGAACTAACTTGGGAACCAAGCTGTGCCTAGAAACTAAGTTTTCTGTATATAAGTCAAAACCTATTCAACTGAAAACTTAAGAACATTCATGTGGTTCTTCCGAGTTCCCCCACCAAAATTTGAGGAAAATCGGTTAAGGGGCTCGTTCCTGAGTTATGATAGGAAATAGAAACAAAAAAACAAGCCTACTAGTACAGTTAGATATAGATAGATAATACTTAAGCTTTTGTAAACAAAAGGATCAGAAAGTTTGGAATGTTGCATTAAAAAAATTTGATAAATAAAAACATGAAATAAAAGTTTAGAATGTGTTCCTTGTGCTCAAGCTTATCTAGAACCTCCCTGGGAAGAAGGGAAGTCTCCCAAACCTAGAAAACATTTTAAATATTAAAAGACTGCAATTGTGTTCTGTGATATTCAAACTACTAGTACAACTGGAGATTCGAAATGACTGTAATTTCAAGTGCCAATACATTAAAAAGAACAACATGTCCAACTCACAACGGTACCATTTTAAGCTTTGTCTGATCATCCTTTTAATCCCTAAAATGTTAGTGACGTGCGCATTTCTGCTTAAAAAAACGATGGAAAATAATTATCAGAATTAAACGAATTGAAAAAAGGGTACCTAGATGTGAATCGGGCATGTCCCTAGAGGGCCACTTGAAATTACAAAGATTTTAAAAGTCTAAATTCTAGAATATGAGAGAAAAAAGAATAATAAAAAAGGAAGAGTCGGACACACAGACATATCCTACCGGAAATTGTTGTCCAGTTTCCTGTTTCTTCACTGCGCCGAGGTACTGAAAAAAATACAAACATTAAAACCGAGAAACAGGTCCTACAACAGAGAATAAAATTGGGTAAAAAATTCAAGGAAAAAGAGGGAAGGTTAAAAATGAAAATTCACGAAAAAAACTTTAAAAAATCAGAAGTAAAAAAAGTGAGAAAAAAAAGTAGGTTAAAATACAACAGAAAAAAGAACAAGATAAGAAACGAAAACAAATGGGGGAAAAAGGAAATAAAGAAAAAATTAACAGAAAAGATAGGAGAAAAAAGTGAAAAAAAGGAATGAAAGTGGAAAAAAACTAAAATTAGAAAAAAGGACAAAAATTAGGGGAAAACAAAATGAGTAAAAAACGAAAAATGTTAGGAAAAGAAACAACAAAAAATGAAAAGAAAATGGAAAAGAAACAACAAAATAGAAAAAATGGAAAAACAAAAGTTGAAACTAAAATAAAACCTGCATAAGTTCAGGGTTTGAATGTTCATCGCCAACAATACAGGGGCCTGACTCAAGCCTAATATTAATTAATCAATCAAATAAACAATCAATCAATCATCAATCAAAGAAAAAAATCTATCGATCGATTAAACAATTTATCAATCAATCAAGAATTCTACAAGAAATAGAATTAAGATTCGCACTTTTATTATTTGATAGTTTTTTTGTAATTTCCTAAAGAACGGTTTTTGGAAACCCCCCCCTCCTATCATTTTTGTTACACAGGCCCGTAACCAGGATTTTCCAGGCAAAGAGGGGTGTTGTAGTAAGGACTCCGAAGCACCGAGTGAAACGCACAGTGAAGGAGGCGGGGGGATGCAGGGGGCAGAGCCCCCTTGCATAGAAATTTTCAGAAGTTTGGAATAAAATCGAGTGATTTTAGCTTGAATTTTATGTTATGTAGGAAATTTTCTAATATTTAAGCTTGGAACTAAATGTTTAGTGAGGTTACAGCCAAACTTAGATTTCTGAAGCGTGTAGAAAATCCAAGATTGAAAGGAGGCAGTCTAGTGAAAACCTGCATGCACTGGAATAAGGAGAATGGAAGAAGCCTGTAAATTAGGAGCCTTGAACTGCTCCGGGGAAGTATAGAAACATAGCGCCAGGATTTGAAGCAGATCCATCTGATACACCAGTTGGAAATTCAGGACTCGATTCAGAAATTGGTCTCTCAACAACTATACTGTGGAACCCACAAACTAGCCTCACAAACTAACCTCACAAACTAACCTCACAAACTAACCTCACAAACTAACCTCACAAACTANAGGAAATATTGTTTATGATCCTCCAACAATACTAGATAGTAGGAAATATTGTTTATGATCCTCCAACAATACTAGATAGTAGGAAATATTGTTTATGATCCTCCAACAATACTAGATAGTAGGAAATATTGTTTATGATCCTCCAACAATACTAGATAGTAGGAAATATTGTTTATGATCCTCCAACAATACTAGATAGTAGGAAATATTGTTTATGATCCTCCAACAATACTAGATAGTAGGAAATATTGTTTATGATCCTCCAACAATACTAGATAGTAGGAAATATTGTTTATGATCCTCCAACAATACTAGATAGTAGGAAATATTGTTTATGATCCTCCAACAATACTAGATAGTAGGAAATATTGTTTATGATCCTCCAACAATACTAGATAGTAGGAAATATTGTTTATGATCCTCCAACAATACTAGATAGTAGGAAATATTGTTTATGATCCTCCAACAATACTAGATAGTAGGAAATATTGTTTATGATCCTCCAACAATACTAGATAGTAGGAAATATTGTTTATGATCCTCCAACAATACTAGATAGTAGGAAATATTGTTTATGATCCTCCAACAATACTAGATAGTAGGAAATATTGTTTATGATCCTCCAACAATACTAGATAGTAGGAAATATTGTTTATGATCCTCCAACAATACTAGATAGTAGGAAATATTGTTTATGATCCTCCAACAATACTAGATAGTAGGAAATATTGTTTATGATCCTCCAACAATACTAGATAGTAGGAAATATTGTTTATGATCCTCCAACAATACTAGATAGTAGGAAATATTGTTTATGATCCTCCAACAATACTAGATAGTAGGAAATATTGTTTATGATCCTCCAACAATACTAGATAGTAGGAAATATTGTTTATGATCCTCCAACAATACTAGATAGTAGGAAATATTGTTTATGATCCTCCAACAATACTAGATAGTAGGAAATATTGTTTATGATCCTCCAACAATACTAGATAGTAGGAAATACATCAATTACTCATTCTTGATCAGACGAACATTCAGAGAGTACCATTGTGAATCTAAGTGCCACTCATACAAATCTGCAATTAAATTGCAGCCCGTTTTAAAATAGAAAAACTATGATATTTATCCCATATTTAGGTTCCATGGTTCACTAGAAGATACGTCTACAGTCACTTTAAGGAAGAAATTTCTTTAATATATAAATATAATAAATTGAATTGTTTGAAGTTCTACCTTCAACTAACCAAGTTTATCTTTAATATATAAATATAATAAATTGAATTGTTTGAAGTTCTACCTTCAACTAACCAAGTTTATCTTTAAACGGAAACCAGAGAAACTTGTTTCTTCAAACTCATTGGGATAGATAGATAGATACAAGGGATAGACAGATACTTAGTTACTAGGGATACATTGGGATACAAGGGATAGATGGATACTTAGTTAATATAGGGATACATTAGGATACAGGGGATAGATAGATGGATACTTAGTTAATAAGGATACATTGGGATATAGTTAAAAATGTTCTTAAAAAGTCAACCCAATTAACTTTGAATTTTTAACTACACAAAGAACACTCGTGGTTCCAAAATCAAAATCTGAGGCAAATCGGTTCAGGGGTTCATGAGTAATGACTTTGGATCGAACATCAGAGCAAATGGAGAATAAACAGAGAATATCCGTAAATTCCTCCTGAACTTGGTTTCTTGGTCTTTTTGCAGGATTATCCATTATATTTATATAAAGTTGTTATCTCTGTTTGTTTGTCTGATCATAACTTATGAACCCCTGGACTGATTTGTCTCAAACTTTTATGGGAGAACTCGGGAAAACCACGGGAATGTCTTTAATTTGTTTTTGAGATTTTAAAGGAAAAAGTAGCTAAAATCGTAGTTTTCGACCAAGCGCGGGTAAAAGGCGGGAGCAATAACCTGAACAACTCTTAGCTTCCAAGCTCTCCAAGCTAGTATGACATAGTTTCGCAAATGTACAGTTTTGACTTTTGAAAAATTACTGGACGATTTTTTTTTCTTTTTGCTGTATTTGTAATGTATGTTTTATCTGTAAACGAAATGAAAAATAGTAATTTTTAAAAACAACCTCTAAGCCAGGGTATGATACAAACAATAGTGTACAAAGGTGGAGGGCATTAGTCCTCTTGCCACCGCCTGAGCATTCCACGGGGGCCCTGCTCCCCTCCTACTGGGATTTTTGGTAAAAGGTTAAAATCAGGATTGGAAGGTAAAAAAATGAGATTGCCTCCATTTTAAAAGGGATGATTTTTTCCAAAAAAGTAGTTCAAAATTGTTCTTCACCTTTTTCTCTTTCATCTAAANCAATTATAGCTACATGGTTATTGGTTACCCCCCAACGCATGAGATTTCAGAGACAATTTTACAGAATTTTTCTGTCTGCTTCCTTACATTTTCTCACTGGAATTATATTTTCAGTTTTATCTCTTGTGGGTGACCCTGTATATATGCATTGTGCAAGTGTTTTGCAAGTCTTCCCGCAACCCCCATCAAAAGGGGGGGGCCACCATGCGTCTACAATTGGGGAGAAGGATGGATACATTATAATATATAGTCCTTGAATCGGGACTATACAGTGAACTTCAAAGGGGAAATGTAGACTTTACATAAAAGAATAGAAATTTAAGGGCCAGGGGGGTAGGGGGGGGGGGCAAAAAACGCCCAGATGCACGTTTTTCTTTAAAAAAGATTCAGTAATGGAAAAAATATACCGCCTTGGGAAAAATGAAGATATATTTTTCTACGAAACTTTTCATGCCGGGATTTATTTCAAATAGATTCAGATAAACTTTAACAAAGGGACTGTAGACGTAATTGCAAATAGATTCAGATAAACTTTAACAAAGGGACTGTAGACGTAATTTCAAATAGATTCAGATAAACTTTAACAAAGGGTCTGTAGGCGTAATTTCAAATAGATTCAGATAAACTTTAACAAAGGGACTGTAGGCGTAATTTCAAATGACTCTCCATCTAAAGAGAAGAATTTCCAATTTAAATCGGTCCCTTTAAAAGCATAGTAAGAATTAGTGAGATATCCATGTTTCTCTTTTTTAACATTGATTATTTTTAATCATAGTTTCTCATATAGCAAACGAAACTAACTTATCTACTCGTCTGCTTTCAGTCCTTCGCTGCTGCTCTGAAACACGGCATTCTTAACAGTTGTCAAATTTTCGCGGATTTTTCTGTTAAAACTGGTGCATTTTGAAAAAAATAAGAAATGTTGACATTTTTTTCCGGTAGAATTTGTACTTTGATCCACCAATAACGTTCCCTGATGTCATGTGGGCCCAATCGGTTAAGGTGTGTTGACGTTTATACAAGCAAACTAACTGACAGACAGACAAGCCAAATTTTTTTATAAATAAAATCTATAGACTTTTATTAAGCGTGAAATCAAAATAAGAAAACATGTGTTTAATCTTGATAAACTCGCTAATTTTCAATAATTTTTGTCATGCAATATTGAGCACATTTTGAAAACACGATGGATTGACTACCTTTTTAAAAGCCCAGAGCTGTTGACCACATTAAAAAAAACACAGATGGTGACGTTTTTAAATTAGATTTAAAATGATTAAGACAAATATGTAAAAAAAATACTTAAGATTAAAATCAATTTTATCCAGTCATAGCCAATAAGAGGACCAGAATCATTATACAGGG